ATTGTTTCTGAAATATGTTAGACTCTGGTTGGTAATGGTGGTAATATCAAAAGAAAGTCTGGCATTTCATCTTGTTTTGATGTTCTATAACAATGGTGTATACAAGTAAGTCCCATACTTGTCCCTATGTCCTAAAAACCTTTCAACATTCTTCTTATGGGGTATGGGGCAGTTGTATTTATGCCTGTCTTACATTGATCGATTTTATTTACACGCAACGTGTACCAGTTAGAAGTTGGTAACTGACCAACCCAAAACGAATTATTATGATTTCCCCGGAGATTCGAAAGCAGGACTTTTCATAGTTTACGCAACGCGTACCATGCGCCACAGAAGCGCTCACTATAAACAAAATTTTTAGTAAATAGCGCACTAGACATAATTATATAATCAGTAGGGTTTAAAAGCAATGAAAACGAAAGAGTTGGCGATCTAATTACTACGTAAAAATTTAATTAAACATAAAAATCGTATCGCAATTTCAATAGACTTTAAGAACGCGCCATAAAAGTCGAAGCAGGCACTAAATGTAAAAGTTTAAAGGAATTTTGATTTAAAACCGCCTTCATGCCGGCGTCAATTTCCAGCGGCTTTACAGAAATATACTGCTGAAATATTTTTAACACTGAATTAAAAATGAAAGCCCAGACATCGTACCAAGGCTACATAAATCAATTTAATTAAAGAATCAGTCATCGACACTGTTTAAATGATTTGTGTTGATGGACTTGTTGTTACAGTGGTAGTCATGCAAGACAATAAGCAACAACAAGTTATGGATCAGCTCAGAAGTATTTTAGTTGATGTTTTTTTTGACCCAACGTCTGGTAAGTGTAGACATTAATCGGGTCAGGAATATAAAATAAGTCGCCCATCGTAATTAGATGCTGTAGGGCATTTATCTACTTTAAATAAAGGCTTATACTTCTTATATTATTGCATATAAAAGATTTCATTAATTAAATATATATTAAACCACGACCACATCGTTTCAAATACGGTGGGCCTAGGGGTGGCCTTGGGTTTGTCGTGAAGTTTAATCGCGTTTCGCTTTCCAATGGATGTCCGACTATCCAAGGCCCAAATAGGTCAACAACACATCTTATTGAGATGTTAAATAACTGGGGTATTTCACCCTCCAACGAGTGAACTCCATGCACCATGTCCATCTTCCTCCAACATCATAAAAATGCTTATAAAATATCCCCCTCCATATAAAAAAGTTGAATTATTACGCGTTGCCAAACTAAACGTAGACATGTGAATAAATCGCCTGGTGGTGAATACAAGCGCTTACGAATCGCTCTAGTTGACCGGACCACGTCGACAATTGGCACACTGCATAGGACGTGTTTTTCGAACTCTACATAAAATGTAACAAAAACTTTTTTAATGTGGACTCGTTTCTAGTGTAACTGATTTTAACGTATAAGAATCTATAGTTAACGCTATAATGAGTCAAGAATAGAAGGCGGTATATTTTTATTATATCTAAGTACTAGCTGAGTCAGCGACTTCGTATGCGTAGAATAGTCATTTTAAATATCAATTTTTGTTTTTGCAAACCTCCCGTACAACTCTTTATAGAGTATACTAAGCTACGTCGTCCTCGTTCCGTCGTTCTTGCAAGTTAATCTTACAAGATAGACATATAATGTCGGGAATTTTTTTAATCATTTAAAGAGGAATCATTCTTTCATACATATTTAGTTTACGCGAGTAGTACACATTTAAATAAAACACATTTACGGTTTAAAACGCTATATATAATAGTTAAACTTATTTTTAACTTCGGCCCGACGTTTCCGATGCTTTGCAGCTGTGGTGACGGGTGCTGCAAGTAACTCTGTCTGTCTGTTACTCTTTCACGCCAAAACTACTGAACGGATTTGAATGAAATTTGGTACACAGATGGTTTAGACCCTGAGAAAGAACATAGGTTCTTTTATTGCAAAAAGGGGGTTGTAAGGGGTTTAAAAGGGGGGGGGGTGAAAGTTTATATGTAAATTCGTGGTTTTTGAAGCTAGAACATTGAAACTTTCTTCTTTGCCTTTTTGGGAATAGGGGTGGTCGTGGGAGTGGGAGTTATAATGGTAGTGATGTGATGTGAGAGTGTTGCGGCAAAGTAGCACTTACAACATAGATTGACTGCGATAAATGCGCAATTACATAAATTAATAAACAGCCTAAATAATTAAAAATTCCACCCCAAGTCACTATTTCACGCGAACGAAGTCGCGGGCACAGCTAGTATATAATATTACGTTAACTGATATTTACCGTGTTTTAAACCGTTAAAGTTCTTTATTGAAATAAATAACAATCAATTATCGAAGAATGATTTGTAACTAAATACAGTCGAAATGCTTATAATTGGCTTAAACGCCTGTCGCGAAAGACAAAAAGCTCGAAATATATCGCAGCTTAACTTCAGTGAAAATTAAAATTAAATAAACAGCGTAGCGGGAGCGCTTGCTAACGAGCTCCTAATCATAAATTAACTTCTGGCTTCATGTCTCCGAGTAACTAACGACCGCGACGTTGACAAGGACCTCCACTACAACTTACTCTTTGAAGTACTCTTCGAAGGGACCAAGTAATCTACACCATTACTGGTTTCCTAGGTCATTCAAATAGATAATACGGCCACACAGGCAAAGCCAATCATTTACACTCATAAGATTAAAATCCTAAAAACATTTAAGTCTAGTCAGTCAAGTTAATAATTGTTTTATTAATGAGATGGACAGACAACACGAGGTTTACGTGATGGAAGCTGAAATATCCCAGTTCTGACTGTTGGCCTATTCTGGCTTTGGATGTTCGGAAATCCACAAACAGAAAGTGAAACGTGAAATAACACCACGGAATTGCGACATTCATACCACCTATTTAATATTCAGACTTCTTGATGAAGTCCAACATGTTTCTGAAAAATTATAAACATATTGAAGCCGTTTGGAACCAACCACCCAACAATACATACATTCAATACATTGCTACCATTACACCAACAAATATTCCGTTTCTTCGCTGGAAATTGGAGACACAATTTCTCTATCCGTTTTATTAATATATTTTATATATAGACAAATTATTAACCTACCCCAAGAGCCCTGTAGTATAATCACATCGGTAACACTAACTGTAAACACTTACTTCTAAAAAATATAACTAGAAACAGCAAACAGGAAAGACGAAGGCAATACTTAAATTAAGGAAGGTATATAACGAATAGGGTAAATAGTAAATGTACATCACTAAATTCTGTAGTATATGTCAATTAGAAAAAGCGTGGACTTCACGAATGTATAATGATATAATACAAAATATACTATAAATAGTGTTTAACAAAGCTAAGAGACACCTTTATCTTCCGTGAAGAAACTAGTACAAATTGTAATTTGTTTATTATCTTTGACAGTTCATATTTTTCCGGGAGAACGTAAGTTCGAATAGACCAATACAAGCTAAACTACGAGCAGACAGTCTCTTTAAACACAAATAAGGTTTTCCTTTCCATCGTTCTTTGTATAGGATATTTTAATTTATGGATTCTGAAGTGGAACAAAATACTTCGTACGTTTTACGACTTGTTTGGAGGACACATGTTAGTCAAATAAAACTGAATTTCGTGTGAGGTTAACTTTTGAAATTACTATATATTGAAAATTAAAAACGTCGGGCCGAAGTTAAAAAACTTTTTCAAATAAGTTTAACTAATATATCGCGTTTCAAACCGTTAAAGAGTTTTATTTAAATCATTAAAAATCCTCTATACACTGTTTAAACGATTTTAATGTCTTTACGCAAGATTTATTTCGACCTTTAGCACAAATAAGAGAGATTACGGAAATTGAATTTTAACAATTACAATAACGACGGATTCTTATATGTATATAAAATCATGAACTGTTTGTTTAACCGCCTGAACATTTAAAATATATAAAAGGGATTTTAATTATTAACTATATGTTTAAAAGGTGAATGATTTAATTTTCCAGCAGGAAATTTTCTTATTAAGATGTGAACATTCCTTTCCAGCATAAAATATTTAGCACCCACGCCTCGTTGACCTTTCAAAGGGGGTCACAAAAGAAACAAATACATAGGTAGCTTATTTGAATAAGAACAACTTCAACACGCAGGAATACAAAGGTGTGTTGAGAAAATCTGTGAAGGATATTTTTTAATCTTGAGCCTTTTTACTCTCGTATTTTTGATTGCCGCTGATTGAAATCTGTTGGTCTTTCCTTTCATTACATTTTCAATAACTGCTTTTTCTGCTACAGCTTCACAGATTATATCAGTTTTGTAATTGTAATTAGTAGTTGAATAAAAACAATGAAGGCTTAAAACCAAAATAAACTTTAACACTTTAATATTGATCTAACCTGTTCTATCTCCAGCTGCTGAGCTAATATTATCTTTGTTTTTATCACTCCTTATGTCATAAATACATGCCATAAGTAAGTCAGATTTTTTTAATGAATCCATTAAGCCAAAACTTATAAAAACAAATATGACTGTGTACCTTCAATTGATTGTGTATGTTATATTTCCTCTAAACAGAATGATAGCAAAATAATTAAGACAATTTTAATACATCACATGGCGTTAGAACATTTGAGAATAGCACCATTGTGTTTTTTTATCACAAAAGTAGCTAATTTATGCACAAACAGTAGATACAAAGGACTGGACGAGAAAGTTTGTTTAGCAGAAATAGGTTTGTAAAGATGCCTTTCTTTTCACCTTTGTTTAGACATACACAGTAATAACTATCACTGTCATTTATCACTATAAATAAAAAATACAAATCTCATTATGGATCGTAAATATACTTACGATTTCAGTGCTAGAAGCGAAATCTCATTTCCGTGTAAGTAACGTTAGTGGGAATATCGGCCGCATTTCATACACTTTTAATTTACACTTAAGGAAACCTAGCACTGCAGAACGATGTGTTAAACGGACCCAGTATTAAAATTTCATGTTAGAACCGGGTGGGTTTGGGCTGGAGGTGCGGAGAGCGCAGGCGACGGGCGTCGGCGCCACCTGTCGCTGACTGCGTGGCGGAAGTCGTGTGGGGCTGTTCCGCCGGCGGAGGCTCGTGAGCGACTGAGCCCGGGCCGGGGTTGGAGCACGTGGGTCGTCGCCGCCGACCGCCGCCCAGGTGCACAGCTTCGCCCTCTCGCCGCAACCCCACGCCACGGGCTACTCACCTCGCTAACACCCACAGAACATTACATTTTTTAAAGTTAGATCAGCGAATTCAAGTCTTCATTATTCTACAAACTTTGCCACAATCTAGATTTAAATAACTTTGACGGTTTTAAACGCGAAATATATTAGTTATACTTCTATACAAATTATTTTTAAATACGGCCCGACGTTTTAGATGCTTTACAGCAGCCGTGGTCACGAGGAGACAAAAATAATTTATCTACAGGTTTAACTTATATATTTCGCGTTTTAAACCGTTAGTTATTGTTTTATTTAAAAGTGTCCTCCTCGTGTAAACTACCGACGCTATCTAGATTATTCATATTTTTTAAATTATAATTTTCTAATGAGAATAAAAAAGTAATTAGAGATTGACTCGATCGGCACTAGATTTTTGTGTTTAATCAAGTTTACGTTTTATAAATATGAAAGTAACATAACATTACCAAGGAGGCTGTATCCATTCATGAATGTAATTTATTCAAAACTATTCGGACACTAGGAAAATGCAGTTGACATTTTCGTAAAATAGAGAAAAATGCTAAAAGTAAGATTCGATCCGGTGAACTTGTTCGTATCTGCCTGCAAGCGGAGTGTGGCATCCCGTATTTGTAACGAGATTTCATTAATTTTCTCACGAACAAACTTTTGATTAAAGCTTCGCTAATGGATGTTTGGTGAAAAATGTTCGCGGTTAAAGACCTGGATCAAAGCTTTTAAATGAAAACGTTTAAGCACTATGATAAAGCCGCAAATTTCCGATTATTACAAATATTACTTACCATTAAATAATATTTAAACTTAGCAGGAGCTTATAGGAAGAATTACGTTTTGTGTAAGGCAGCTCTGGGTTCAAATAAAGTAAGCGTATAAAATATGACAAGCTCGTTGTACAAGACAATGGTAGCAATGTATGGCAGATAATCAACGGGTCTTGGATTCGATCCCCACCGGATGCATGATGTTTCAAATTTTTCAAGTTATAATTGTCCGTCCCGATTACGAATCACCGTCCTGAAATCACGTATGAAAAAGCCGTGAAGCTTAATCGCGTTTCGGTAGCAATCTGTGGATTTCCGAATATTAAAAGCCAAGTTAGGCCAACAGCACATCTTATTTAGAAGCTATAGGAGGGGTATATACCCTACTACTAGATACTGTAAGTATTCTCATAATAGCCTCTTATATAGTGTAATAAGTACTGAAGGATAAAAGTAACGAGAAAAAAAGATTACCGTCCTCTTAATCAGTGACAATGCGCAAGTTTATTGTTTCTAATTTTTACCGATCCTTTTGAACTCGGGCTGGCATATTCTATGCAATTCAATGGAAGCAGACGCTATACCCTGATGAAGTTTTAATTAACTCTTGAACTTCTCTGGTTACGCTAATTATTATTTTTTCTTTTATTATGCACTTATGTAGACATTCAATTTATTTTGCCAGCGATTATAATCCTATTATATACTTTTCTAAGAGGACCAATATTACAAGCTGTCTGTAGTTAAGGGGGGTAAACATTAAAATGAAACACTTTTAAACGGTTTGAAACGTGAAATGTCCCCATGTACAATGTACACAGTTCGTGCAAAGCATTCGAAACGTCCCGTCGTAGTTAAAGTAATTTATAAATAAGTTCTAACATTTTGCATTTTACATCACTACGGCCGGATGGATAGAATAGAACAGGCTTTAAATGCATAATCCAAAAAAAGCTATAAAGATATAGATAAAGTAAAATATAAATAGGTTTTAATTTACAAAAAAATATAATTACTGAAGAAGCAATTTGTATATACATTTCTGAATGAAACGAATTGAATATTGGGCCCTTTTAAATTGTCTTTTTTATGTAATAGCCATGTTTAGCTAGCTACACACTGTTTCACGATATGTTACATTAGTGTAATGTTATTTTGTTGCGCTACATCTGTGCTACGAAATGTCTACGTAACCTCGTAGCTACAAAATCTCGGCCGTAGCACGCCACATCACTGGACTTCAATAACTGGGTAGTAATTGATGCACAAAAGTAAGGAATAGAGTTTTAATTAAAACTGGGGTATATTTTGTTCTTGTTAACGTCTTTTTAGCAAATTAATCTGTTTGAGGTAAAACGAAATTTCTCTTGTGCGAGTAATTAAAAACAGGTTTTCTTAAAAAGAATCTGCGAAAAGACAGTATTGATAAGTGTCAATGCATAAAGATCCTGGAGACGTTTTTGAAAACTAGTTGGTTTTACAAATACATATATTACACGAATACACTATAGATACTAAAACTAGATTGAAATTGGAATTTTTGCTTTGCTTCAATAACTTGCTATATAATTTATATTAATATATGTATTCACTATATTTTTCAATCTCATTTATTAAATGCGTCCACCAACTTACTGCACTACTACAAAACTAAATAAGAATAATTTAATTAATATATTTCTTGTTTTAAACCAGTAGTGTTTTCATTTAAACTTCCATCTTTTCATTCAACTAAGCAACTAAAATTTTAGGCACAACGCAATCAAATAACATAATAATAATACTGTCTATACTTTACGCGAGTAGTACACATTTAAATAAAACACTTTCGCCAAATACCAACTTCGACGGAACAGATGGCGCTAGCGTAACCATTTTTTACTTTGAAGTCAGAGACATCCTCGATCTTTAGTCTCCCCGTGACCACGGCTGCTGCAAAGCATGCGAAACGTCGGGCCGAAGTTAAAAATCATTTTTCAAATAAGTTTAACGAATAAGTATATCGCGTTTTAAACATTTAAAGTGGTTTATTTAAATAACATAATATGGATAGTACATAGATAGGAATTAGACTTTATAATGTATAGGTACATATTATCTACATTGAAATCGAAACTAAAAACATTTTGTAAAATAAAAACGGTCCGAATAATGTTTACCACACGTATGCGGGCAAATACGTTTACAGATAACCAAATAGGAGTATTAAAGAATTACGTTTTTGGGAATTCGTAATATAATTATTGTGTGTGGTATTTTTTTTGTTTATACATAAATTAAAATAATTGTACTTGTCCCTGCTTTAGTTCTATAATTCAAGGTGATAGAGGGTTATCTTTTTTTAACGTGGGGAAAACTGCCTCGGATTCCCACCGCAACAGGAGGAGCAAATAGGTTATGTCGGACTTAAATAGACTAAAAGCCAACATTTCCAATATTCTCACAATGAAGAATATCCCGTAAATTCCATAGAACTCGCACGGCAGTCTCAACATCTGCCACTCTGCACTATGCACAATACGAAAGTTGACTGTAATCAAAAATAAATATAATTTGAATGCAAATTGCTATAGACATACGTCGCAATCAATACATTTTCTTAGTTTTATCTAGCATTGTTGATATTTAAAAATCAATTTTAGCGAACGAGGAATAGAAATGAATAACTTTTCAGGTGTTTTTTTTTGTATTGCTTTCGCATAGAACTTAAAGCTTATGTAAAAACTAGAAAATAAAAATAGGTAAAAAAAAACATTATAAGTTAAACGGTTTTATGTTAAACATACATTGCAATGTTTAAGATTAATGTTTTATATTAGTCTAGTCTATGCATATGTTTATAATTCCCACGACTGTATCTATTTTATTATTTTTTGGTTTTTAGTACATTTATCTTAAACATTGCAATGTATTTATGTTTAACATAAAACCGTTTATCTTAAAAAGTTTTTTTACCTATTTTTATTTCGTTAACTCCACTAACCGTTTTCTCGATCGCAAGCCGTGGCGTGATTGAGTCACGGTAATACGATGTTTCCGGGATAAAAAAAAAAGGTTTTTAAAGGTTTGAAAAATGTATATTTAATAGGGAGGGTAAAGAAACCTTTAATTTAAAATATTGTCTATAGTTTACGCGAGTAGTACACATTTTAATAAAACACTTTAACGGTTTAAAACGCGATATATTAGTTAAATCGCGTTTTAAATCGTTAAAGTGTTTTATTAAAATATTTTCTCGAAAATACACAATATCCCATTGTCCCATAAACAACCCCTGAACAAGATAAACATTAAAATATATAAGTAAAGATAAATGATTATAGATACACTAGCTGTAAAAACATCAACACATTAAAATGATTCGCAAAGTAATTTTGACTATGCCCTTCAAGTAATTGTTTTCAAACAACAATGTAACAGTTTGAACTTTGAATTCAATCAAATAAGCTTGAGAATAATAAGCCCGAGGCCCACAGTCAATTTGCCAGTTCCCGTCAACCAAGTTACACCCTAGTTCTGGCTGAATTCCAAATCTTGAACCCGTTTTCAATAAAAAAAACAAGTGGCGATTAGACTGTTGAATCATTTTTATAATAATCATTGGGCACATGTTATGAAATAAAGATTCATAAAATGATACCACTGTACGCCCTAGATGATTTTACAAAATATTTTGACTACTGCCCGACGTTTGGAAAGCTTTGCAGAAAACATGGTCACGCGGGGGGGGAGTTGTTTTATGCGATTAAATACTTTTAGCATTAACTTATAAAACGATAAATCATCATGAAATTAACTAGCAAAACTGTTTCATTATATAAATTTACTTACTTAATAAATTATAAAAAAGTACATGTTACTGTGGTATGTCAGAATTAAACAAGAATAGATGTATCTTACTAAATGCAGTTTCCATCAGCCCAGAAATAAAAATTATCATAAAACTTGAAATGTTGCTGAATTTGCTTTGTTGCTGCGTTATACGAATGCAAACATAATAGACAAAGTTCATTAATATTCCATGCGAACGTGAAGTTAACAACGTACTTTTTTCTACGAGAAAAGTTATAGAATTGCCTATCATTGCGTTTCGTGCTGTTCGACCGACGTAAGCGAGAAGAGATTCCCGACGTTTCGCCCTCAAGTTTTATCGTCATAAGTCTTCCAGCAATCGAGAAGCTAACATGTTCTGATGATGCCCTCCGATCGTGATGGCGAAATGTCGAGAACCTCTTCTCGCTTACGTCAGTCGAACAGCCCGAAAAACAATGATAAGCTGACGATGGACGTGAAAACTTACACATTTAATTGCCCTTTCGCTGAATAAATGAATTAACATTATGTAATTCATAACATAGGTATACAAAAATATTATTTATTGAAAAATAAGACGAATAAATGAATCATTATATGTGTCCGTTTTATTGGGTAGTTAATCATTAGAAATAACGATGTCGTAAAGTTGTTTATGATACGAGTCATGACGTAAAAGATTCTCTGTTACGTTTGCTACTGAGATTTCCTATATAAAAGTGGTCGCAACTTATGTGGGGATATAAGACGCCGTTATTCAGTTGTGTGTCTGAACTATCTCCTCTAAGAAAGACAATTTTTTATGATAGGTTGGATTTCATTTGTTGGTAGATGAAATAACCCTATAATATCTAAACATGATGCCTTGTCCACATATTTTGGGTTTGGTTACTTCAAAATCCTCAGACTAAAACCGAAACGCCATTAAACTTGTCGGCTTTTTCATCTGAGGTTGGTGGTACGTGACCCAGACGGAAATTTGATATTCCTATTCATTTAATATCCAAATTTCCGGACTAAATCTAAACATGTTTCAGAAAAATGTTAGACCTGGTGGGGATCGACCCACTGATTATTAGCCATACATTGCTACCATTATACCAAGTGCCCCAAATGTTAGTAACCATTTCACTTATCTATAACCGTTTTTCACGAAATTTCGACATCCAGAATGAGAATCCAGAATCCATGCCCTTGCTTCACGCAATGCCATGTCCTAATGACTCTCGTAACTGGCTATTATACTTATTTACTTATGAATAAAATAAATTCATAGAAAATAAATCCCCAGTACATTAATACACTCACAAATAGCAAAAAAAAAAAAAATACAAATATAAAAAAAAATGACTCGTTTCTAAAATATAGTAGACTGGGAAAAAGATAAGCCACTCAGCTTGCGCTAAAGCACATTGCAATATGCGACAGCGCCGAATTTCAATGGTCTTTGCGGCTTTGAACGTTTGAAAGTAATTAAAAATAATAATAAGGCCATTAACACAATACAGAAGCAAAGTCACAATGTGTGTACACATCTTAACATTTCACAATTTAAACTATTACTAATCTTATTATTTATGATAATAACTATTATTTCTCGTTAAATATTTGAAAACATCAGTTGCCTAATCTTGGCTGTAAACTTTGGGGCTGTGTAATGTTGCTATATTTCACCTTTAACCACATCGATGCGGTTTGACCTAAGTTCTGCCGCAATCCTTCGGTTAATGGGTTAAAAATGTAGAAGGTATTTTGATGAGGAATAAAACCTTTTGTAATTAATATCTCCTGTTAACTCTATATAAGTATCGCCAAATAAAAATAGACCAAACGATCCTTCAAAATTTTCCGTTAAGTAGAAATTCATGGATTCCTACTAAATCACCGTGAAACATCTAAAATTTGTACGACATTTCCTTTTCAAACTCGAATCAGAGCCTCATCGATCTCAGTCAGGTATTATCGGAAGATGTCTGAAAAATCGCGCCTTTCTAAATAAGTACCTGCATTTATCAAGTGGCAATGTCTTAAAAATATCTTAGTAATACATTAATATATATAAAAGAACATTTCCTATGAAATTTTATATGAGAGCTAATGAAAATGAAATTAATTTAATTAATAAATCTAGCGTGTCTCGAATGCGACAAGATTATTCTTGTCGCATTCGAGACTACGCTACTACTTCTTTTATTATTAAAAAAAAGTGAAATCATCTGTTTGAGACCCATACTCGTACATGGATGGGGTTTTACCAATCGAATTTAGAGTCGCCATTCTTCCTTGCTTTAATTCTTATGAAAAAAGTTCTTAACTTCTACTTGGCCCTTTTATACACATACAGACCCTTTTAGTGTCTTACTAAAATGTATTAAATTATTACACTGTGTTATAATTATTACGAAAAAAGACCAACAGTTTACTGTGGTGAGCCATTAGTGATGGCGGAAAAACTTATCTTGTGTTGACAAGGAAATGTTGAGTTTTCTTCAGGGATAAGCTACGATTTATGTTGGATTAACGCCAATTTTTCTAAAACTTGGCGACAAATAAAGTGTTATCTACTTTTTGCTGTCATACCGCGCATTAAATGATACTTGAGAGATGTGTTAATATTTGCCATTTCGTATAGTTTAACATAATGTCTAAAGTTAAGTACGTACTTAGAAGTTAGGCCTAAAAGAGGGCTTTTTTGTTCCCCCCCCCCTTTTATGTCTATTGAGTATAGTTTAAGATACTGTGCTAAAGTTTAAGTTAGTACTTAGAAGTTAGCAGCAGCCGTCAGGGACAACGGCTGTGCAAATAGATGACGTCGGGCCGCTTAAAAATTATTTTCAAATAGTTTACATTTTATCGGTTTTAAACCTTAGTTTTTTTTAAATAGCATTTTTGGATTGGTGAAAAGTTTTTTGTCGAGTAAAGTACATTTTTCGTGTCAAATATTGCTTTCCTGGGTCGATATGTACTGTACCCATAATTTTTTTTCTAGTTTAGGTATTCTAAAACAAAAAAATATATATTTTACGTCATATCGCAAAAGTCATCGAATTCAACATCATTAGTAATAATAAAAACAACGCCTCTTCTACTAATCTAAAATAATAAAGTAAAAAAATGTAAATTATAAGTTTTCCGTGTATTCTTGCGCGAAAATTTTATGACTATACCTACCATATTTTAATGAATAGAGACTGACTGCATCGGATAACGGTATAAAGACTACATGAAACTACGATTTTATTAAATTATGAGTGCTTTGTAAATAAGTTTTACAAATACTATTTTTGTGATTAACATAAAAAAATAAAGATACTCTTTTGAGTAGCGTAAGTCAAATTACCTAACTAAAACGTCTCCGTAATAGTTTTAGCAGTCTGTTAATTGATCGAAGACAGTCTGTGACCCTCCGAATTGTCTTTTGGCAGTTGACACATTCATTGGCACTCGCTTACATCATTTGATGGTCACTTGTCATCATCAAAAATTTATCATTGACCCACTCAGTTCAATAATCATAAATTTATCTATGAAGTGTAAAGTTATATGCTAACGTAATTTGTGTGATTCCACATATTTCTGACTGGTAATATGAAAAATTAAACGTTTTAATTCAGGTGCATTATTCAGACCTAGGATCATTCTAAAGAAATAATGGCTTCTCGTGGAGACAGAGGTGTCACACGAGTGTTAGAAAAGCTAGAATCATCTGTCAATGCTGGTCAATACTATGAGGCACATCAAATGTACAGAACACTCTACTTTAGGTAAATATGCTTAAATAACCCATGATGTGATTATGATACGTATTTTTCTCATTTATTTTCAGATCACTCTTTATAATGTTCTAATTTATTTTTTAGATACCTAAATCAAAAAAAGTATGACGATCTTCTTAAACTACTGTATAGTGGGGCAATTGTATTGTTAGAACGTGACCAGCAAGGTAGTGGTGCTGATTTGGCTATACTATTGTTGGATGTTCTGACTAAATCAGAGACAAAACCAAGCGCAGAATGGATCGACAAAATAGCAAAACTGTTTGAAATGATAAACCCTAACGTCCCAGAGAGGGGAACCTTTCTTATAAATGCAGTTAAATGGTCCATGGATGATACTAAGAAGGGCAGTCCATTGCTTCATAAAGTAATAACAGCAATTTTATACCAATCTGTTTGTTTATTTAAAACCATTGAAATGACATTTCTTTTTTGTTTTAGAGAATTGCAGAGATATATTGGCGTGAAAAAAAATTCACTGCAGCTCACAGACATTTCTTGCATTCCAGTGATGGAGTGACTTATGCTACTATGTTAATAGAACTCCATACAACTCGGGGCTTAAAGAGTGAAATTGATCTATTTGTGGCTCAAGCAGTCCTCCAGATACTTTGTTTAAGAAACAAAGTTATGGCTGATGACACATTCAATGAGTACACAAGATCACATCCTACTATAAGAAATGATAAGGGACCACCTTATTTTTTTCCACTGCTTAACTTTTTGTGGTTTCTTTTAAGGGCTATCGAAGAGTAAGTAGACACAACTTGTATTATTTAGATACAAGCTATATTTATTTTATTATACCAATATATATTTTGTATTCTTTGTTTTCAGGAAACAGGTAGCTAAATATAAAATGTTAAGAAGTAAATATGAACAGAATCTTAAAAGAGACCCAAATTATTTTGAATATTTGGATACCATTGGTCGAGTGTGGTTCAACATTGAAACTCCACAAAATCACCGAAATACAAATTCAATGTTAGGTGGACTAATTAAGTCAATTATAGGTGATGTAGAAAGTTCAGATGATGAGAGTAACATGGCTAGTAGAGCAAATGTTCCAGATTTAGATTAAGAAATGAATTTTTTAAACACTTGTAATATAGTTAAATAAACATTGGTTTTAAATGGTTGCATCTTGGTAACTTTATTTGTTCAATTCATTATTTGTTTGTTACTTGTTTTATCTGGGCACAATAATAAGTATCTTCTCTTACTTTCATTTATATGACTATTATTTTTAATGGAAACATTTAAATGAATTTTACACAAAAAACAATCTGGGAGGTTTTTGTTGTAATTATGGAATCCTTACAATAAGCCTTTTTAAGGATGTTTAAAGTATCAACTTTTGAAATTAATGTTTCTTCCTGTATGTATGTTTTTTTTTAACTCAAAGTTTAAAAAAAAATAGTATGTCAGGTGTTATATATCCATTACTATATTAACGTCCAGACGTATGTACATGTCTAAGATATATGCCGTAATCAGTTATAAAAATCAGATTGTCATGCTTCGGTATATAAATGTCTTCTTTTAAAATTTGATTTTTTCATTTAAAACAACGAAATCTCTTACAAAATACTTAAGAAAAAAATTTGTTTAGTGTTAAAATATATTTGCTCAACAACAATAATTGCGAAAAGCCACCATCAGAAGAAACAGCTTTTACATAAAAAATAATATACTTATAATTTTGCTTATAAATTATTTATTTGGTAAAACAATCTCCTGTTGCCCTCCCTTCAACCATACCAATGTGCTAGTAGTTTCAATGAAAATCTATAAATCTTCAATGGTAAGACATGTTATATCCCTTGTAAATGATTTAAGCTTAAGAGTACTTTTTTGAAGATCTAGCTTGATATTTCTTCTTTTTTCATCTAGAGCTTGTCTTACAATTGTTTTATTAAAATCTATAACTTCAGGATGGCTTAGGAATTCATCAACGGGCATCCATTTGCAAGCTTTAATTTCTATTTCAGATTTTGTTATTGTATCTGTAGTGGCCTTTAACAATACAATAACGTAAATGTCAGAATTACCAAACATGGCTTTGTGAGTATGTCTGAAGGTAACCATGGACTCAAAAGTTGTGTCAACATCAGTTTCCTCTTTAACTTCTCTAATAGCTGCATCCTTAATATCCTCACCTGAACAAAAGTTAAGGAAAATTCCACACTTCTTATTAATATATAATAAACAAGGAATATAAAAAAAGTAATACAAAATTACCATTGGATGTAATAATATAGGATTTTAAATTAATTTTTCCTTTAATAAAATGATTTCAGCAATTTGTATGATTACCTCTTTCCACATAACCACCAGGCAGTTTCCAATGTGGGTGTTCAAAGTGCTTTTCCATTACCACAAGTATTTCGTTTTTGCTGTTAAAAACTAAACCACCAACACCTAAATTTGTATGACAAGACGGTGGCAAATTGGCTGATCGATCCTGAGGAAGCCATTTGTACATCATGACAAAATCATCTCTTGCGTGGTGAAAGTTAAAGCCTTCCTATAAAAACATTTTTTATCCTTCAGATTTCCTAATAACAATTTCGATGTCACTCCAGTTTTATAAATAGTATGAAGTATTTCGGCCAATTTAAAAATTATTCACCAAAATTCACTTACTTCTGCCAGTATCGGAACCCAAGCAGCATCTTTAATATTAACTTTAAACCAAATACATCTTCGCTTTTCATTATTCCAGTGTGTTAAGGAATCTAGGAAATGACATAAAATTAGTAGGTATTAAACGCAGATCAATAAAACGTAGGAAATCTCCCCATACTTCGCGATCACTTACTCACAAGTTGGATTCTAAAATTTTCGACTGCGCAGGGTTCATCATTGGAATTAATGGTTACACCATTATATCTATCAAATACCCCGTTAAAAGACATTGGAAAATTTCTTCTTGACTGAGTTAACTTGTATTCTAATGAGAGAGTACTTCAAACTATTTATTATAAGCAAGGTTCTTTTTTTTAACTCTTATCAGTAGTACATAGTACTACTCAGTTTGATATTAGCAGGCGTAAGTCAAATATTTTTTACTGGGTTCTTTACGCATGTCTTTTTAAAATAATGCAATTACGTTGATTTGACTATAAGCTAAATAAGTACCCTTAGAAGATATTACTTCAAATCATGCGTATTCTTACATATTTAAAAATATATATCATGAGTATATATTGTATTCAGATATTTTTGAAATAGGATTTTGAGCACAATAATCAAGGTTTCTTTGACCGAGACGCCGGACCCAAAATCTGAGAATATCGACTTCTCTATGTTGTTACCACCTTAATAAATAAATATTATCTGTGGTTAGTATCTAATATTACTGAAACTACTCCTTTGTTACTATGATTACTTCAAGCAATCGGTACCCGTTACTTGGTATTGAATCTATTTTATCTGTGATCATAAGTTATTATCTGCTTCATGTATGTTTGTCTATTTTTTTCAAGCCATCATAATCATTTATCATTGTCGAAGCAAAAACGAAAAATGGAATTTAGAAATTGTTGAAATTTTTTTCATAGTTTCAAAGGATTAATTTTAGTGACTTGAGTGCAAATTATGCCATTGATTAAAAATACAAATATTACTACTTTTATTATATATATTACATACCTTTTCCAAAATGTTATCAATTCTTCGTATAAATTATCATAAACTAAAATATGTCTCGAGTTTAATAAGGTAAACTCTTTTTCTATTTAAAAACATTATACGTAATGGCTAGTATTTAATATTTATAGTGTGGTGAACATATAACTACAATTTTCTTTTTGTTTTAGAAATGTTTCGTACAACAAACCAAATTTTAAGACTGAAATGGACAAATTCAATGGTTTGACTGTAGTTTCAGATAATATAGACTGCAACAAAAATGATTTTTCTTATAATTTAACAGGTTAACTTTTTTATTTCATTATTTTTTTAATTTTTATCTTTATTAGTAGCTTAATTATCTTCTGTGTTTTAGAGGCTTTAAAATGTTGGTCTGAAGAAGGTAAAAGATGCATATGGTTCAAAATCAAGATTCAACATTCTGTTTTCATTCCTATGTTAGCAGAGGTAAGGTTTAAACTATTTATTTATAAGTTATTTTATAAACCAAGGTTTTATTTATGTTTTTATAAATTCAACTATGTATAGCAATATTAATATCTTGAGTTTGAATATGGTATTTTAGTCTATTTACCAGCACCTTGCACATTCCTTTTGTAGTAAGACACAAGCTAAATTTTGTGTAGAAAATATCAATTTATCACAATTTTCTTTTATGATTTGATATTCTTAGAAAGGTTTTCATTTTCATCATGCTAGAGATGACTTTGTGATGATGTATAAATGGCTGCCGACGGACTCGGAATCAAATTTACCACCACCTTGCCACACCAATCTTGGTGTTGGGGCATTAGTTTTAAATAAAAATGACCAGTTATTGGCTGTAACTGAGAAGCACTATGATTACCCTCATTGGAAGCTTCCAGGAGGGTATGTTGAGAGGGGTAAGTAAATTGTCTTTGAATATTATCACGAAAGAGTTGTTTTAGGCCTCATGTAAAGAAAGGCACATATGATAGTGCCTTGACAGCTTACGTTATGATTATTTTTACTTTTAAAAGTCAATAACATTGTGATCTTTTAGTTAACATTCAGCTCTATATTTACAAGAAAACAATATATTTATATAAGAATGTTGTTTTCTTAAAACAATAAGTTAATACATGAATTGTGATGTAACATGAACTGATATTTTTAGGAGAGGACATAAAAGATGCTGCAGTTAGAGAAGTCAGGGAAGAAACTGGAATAGAATCAATTTTTGAATCAATAATAACATTTAGGCACACACACAACATGATGTATGGGAATTCCGATATTTATGTTTTGCTTATGATGAATGCTGTCACAGAAGAAATTATACAATCACAAAGAGAAGTTAAAGATTGTAAATGGATGCCGATTGAAGAGTACACAACCCATCCTCATGTACATGCCTTAAACAGGTACATTGTGAAGGAAGCTCTTAAATATAGAGAAAGGAAGTTTAAATTAGACCTAAAGACTCAAACAGTGACATGGCCAGCAGCAACCCGAGTCATGACCTATTTAGTTGCTATTGGATATGATTAAAATGATGTAGAACTTATTTACACTTATTAATTCCTGTTGGTTTCAAATAATTTATAACATTGTTACATTTGTGTTTTATTTTTTTTCCAAAAAAACAATATCTTTATTTCTTAAAATATAGTACATTATCTTGATACCTCTATGAGATGTCAACGACACATCTCGATAATTTTCATTATCACAAAATTGTTTAAATGGATAATAATTTCCAATATTTTTTTTTATAGAAACGCCTTTTGAATAGTATTAAGGCCGTGTCATTTTACACTAAAATATAAATAAACAAAAGTCATAAAAGTTCCTAATAATATTTTGTCGTTATCGAAATTTTTCTATTATAGTTGCAGCTTTTGTTTCGGAGTTACAGTGCATATTTGGTATAAACGCCCGTGTCACTTGTTTGCACTTCGCCATTATGTCTTTTCCGTTTTTCTTTTCATTCTTCTTTGTCGTCTGAAAAAAAAAGAAAACCATATATTTAAGCTTCTGTCTTATATCCACACATTAACTGAAATTGAAATTAAACATTCAGTTTTTTCTCAGGAAACCTCTGAGGCTTAACGTATCAACGAGAATGATGGACGGATTTTTTTTTACAAAATATTGTAATCTACTCGGAGTTCGTTTGCGCACTTTGTTCCACTACTATACATGTATAAGTGTAAAGAGTACGGTCTTATCAGACATTTCAGTTTCTCATAATTATCATGTTAAGGAATAATTACGAACTTAGATAGTATGTAGGGAGCTATAATATATGTAAAACAGTAAAAATAACATAGATAGTATATTTTTTGTGAACAAAAAGATATTAAACAGTAAATAATAAAAAGTTGCCACAGAAAAATAATCCTACACAAAAACTGAACAGCAGTTTGTCACTTATGTGTCTAGATTAGACAAGAAGCTACTACTTACAAGTGAAAGTTCTACAAAGCGTTTAAATCTTACTGTAACTCAAACAACATAATATGGAAGTATGTATATTCTCTTGTAAGTTGTGATAAATTCAATTAAGCACTTTACTTTTATAGCGACTATAATCAATTTGAAGTACTTCAATAACAACCACATTAACATTGGAAATATTTTCAAATGTTATATCACTTCATATTAACGTTTTAATTCTACACAAAATTATAATACTGAATTTAGTTATTGGTGTCCTCAGTTCTTGAATTTTGGAGTTTAAAATATAAAAATAGCATTGTATGTTAAGAAAATTCGAAAGAATTGGAAACTGGACACAAAAAGCAATGACAAACAGTGACGGCAAGGTCGTTTGTGTTGAAGCAAATGTTTCGACAATAGCCTCACTTTGTGTTCACACAATAATTTTGGTTACGGGTTATAACAATTGCATGTTATTTCGTCGAAATACTTCATATATATAGATACATTAACGTTTGATTACCTTAAAAACGGTTGGTTAATCTTAAAAGACGGACATATAACATACAATCGATTCGTTAATATATATTTTTGGGCGTCTTGAACCGTTTTCGCAACGCAAGCCAAGATTTTCCCTGTTTATATCCACATGCCCCTCTGTTTTTTCGTTTCTATTGGTCGCAACCTGATGTTTCATAGCCACAAGCCTTGTTCGATAAATGGTCTAACCAACCCAAAAATATTTTTTCAATTCGAACTTTAGTTCCTGAGATTACGGCGTTTAAACAAACAAACTCTTCAGCCTTACTCCTAGATGCTACTTAGTTACCAAAGAAAATATATTGTATACGATTGTTTATTATCATTATTTATAGTTAAATACAATGGAAGGTATATTTGCAAAAAAAATATCGTCAGTTATAACAATGCAAATAATGTTTGCATAGACATTGTAAATGTAAATTTATTAAAAATACGAACACAGTTTCAATTCAATAATTCTGAAACACAGCTATAGTTATTCTATAGTTTCTCGCAAGGTACAATGTATCTCGAACACAAAATAAGCAAAAATACTAATAAAGGAAAGGTTTTTAAATTCGAATTTAAAAACTGAGCAGAACCAGATAATATAACCGGTATTTTGTTATAGGTAATATTATTATTAAATTAATTAATTTCTGTCACTCACCTCAGATCCTTGGGTTTCATTATATTTAAATGTGAAATACAATGAAAAGCTCATAAACAGTAGCTTTAGTGTAACAGCCACGGACACCACAATAATAAATGCGTATGTCATAATTGAATTACAAGAGAAGTGGTTGTATACGTGCACCGCCTGTCCAAACGTTCACTGACTGCTGGTAACTGGTTATGTTGATTTTTTAGTTTTTACCGAAAGCAATTGTATAAGCGGTCGCAGTTGATAAACTGTCCGTGAGTAGGCAGCTAACTTTGTTTTTACAGGAAACGCTGTGCTTATCCCACAGTACAATTTGGTACTTATATTTTCTAACAGTGTCAATCGACAAGCTATCTAAAGCTTACATATTTTTACACACACACACATAGAATATAGATGGTAGAAAGGGCTTTACTTCATTGACAGAAAATAATGACTCATCACTAATAAAATATAAAAGTTTATATATAACTAAATAACCACCTTTATATTCGATATTATTTCGCTTGTATTGATTACACAAAAATCTGATGTCTATAATCATTAGATAAGATAATAGATAATATAATTTTTCAGTGTGTTTCAAGTTTATTGATGCCCTATTTATCTGTTATATGATTTTTAAAATTAAGCTCCTATACATATCCATAGTAACTATATATTAGAAGAATTATTATTTACCCAAATGTGATGTATCTAATGTTTGAAGAATATATTTTCCAAGGTATAGTTCTCAAGTTAGCTAGATCCAAACGCATACCTATTAAACTATGGTATAAAAAATATAGAGCCTTAGCCTTGGTCTCCAAAAACAGCCAGCTATTATTAACCAACTAAAATTTCTTAGTGCAGATTCAAAATTAAATCCAAAGTTTTTTACTCTGCTCATGGTCTGTGGAGCGTTGAACGTGAGATATCAAAGTAAAAATAAAACGTGCTATAAACGATATTTTCTAAAATTCTTCTGTTGTATCTTATCTTATTAAGATAACAATGAAACTTATATTCCTATGTTAACGCATTTCACTGTGTGATCTTATCTTTGAAATCGCTATTGTAATTTCAATTATCGTTTTGTTTTTCCCGACGCGACGTCACAAATCTTTTAATATTTTAACGGGACTCCCGTAGGACACACCCCTTAAATGAGATCAGAGTTTAATTTTAATACCTGCGAAATCTAACATTTTCAAGGCGTTAAAAAGTTGAAAATGTCATTAACACTCAACCTGTATTTTAATAAAACAGTAAACTTGAAATCAAAGAAACCAGTTTTGGAGTAATTTTGAATCTGATTCTATATTAAAGAAAGACTTATTCAACACTAACTCTTCTATTTATTCACGCAATTAAAAGAGCTGGAAATCGTCTCGTAGAAGCTTTCGTAGTTTGTAACTAGGCAGACAAAAAGTACTATTGTAATTGTGTTATTATTGCATATGATTACAAATCTTTATGAAAATCGGTATTAGCTTGTTTCATTAAATGGAAGTTATAAAAAAGCAAATGGCTAGTGTAAGGATGAATAATTATTAAGAGGTCTTCAGAAGTGTTATAAAAATTGATTGACTTTTTAAGTTGACTTTCCATTTCTTCTTTTCGTTTCGTTAAAAAATGCACGTAAATTATTAAATCGTATACGCCTCCTGAAAAACTTTGAGCAAATATGACTTATTACAATTTTGCTAATAACTGAAAATGCTTTACAGATATTCGAAAGCACAACTATGTAGTTTCATTCAATATCGTTCGTATAACGAGATTTTCATTATAGGAAACGGTGCGTGGGAAGATTAGTCAGAGATCCCCTTATATAGAACAGCGCAACAGGTTGGCTCGTAACAATAGCTCTTGTTGAAGCTTACTTTTCAAAGAACCTTCTTAACTTACAAAATCTAAATACATTGTGAGAGCATTAATGATCAAGTTATTTTAATTATCATAAAGCTTTACCGGATATATTAGTATCCTCTGTAACTCTTTTAAGGCCAACGTTCAAACATTTACACAGAACTGTGGTAATCCTTATTCTTTTTTTTATGAAGAAATGTAATTCTTATCCGGCCTGTCTTAATTATTAGCTATGCCAATCTATATCACCACAGAACTGAAACATTTTACACTTCACATGCCTATAGTTTAAATGTAAAGTTTTTGAAATGAAGTGGTCTCCAAAGTAACATTGTTACAGGCAATATTATATCCAAACTTAACTTTAAAGAATAGATAGATTTTTATTACTGCTTGTTGAAACTATGCTTTGAAGTGCGCCTGTTAATAATATAGTGTGCTTAGTGCAATTTGTACGTAGACTTGCGCTCTGATTCTGGTTGTTGACGGACAATGAGAAGCATGGATCGAGACAGAGAAAGATAAGTGACAAGCCATTGTCAAAATCAGTGTCGCTTAAGTGTTATAAGAATACAAATTGGTATTAGCCAAGTAGTCGAGTGGCTAGCGTAAGTGGCAGAATCAGGATCCGCTCGACTCTGCAAAATCGCCTATCGCCATCAGTATTCACACCGAGCCAAGTCGCGGTCGCGTTCGGCTGTGCGCACGCTTCTATTCAGTAAATTGACACGTTAACTATTCCGCATCTCGCGATTACGCGGAAACTATCACTCTCCCTACACATAACAAGCTACCAACTATGATAACGCAGTGATAAATTCACCAGAATACACCCCAAGGACCACACCACGGCAGCTTTACAAGGTAAGTGTGATCTAAATCGGATAAAAATTAAGTTACGTGTCAGAATCGAATGCTGAGTGAAAGGAATATACATTGTTATATTCTACAATAGGAACATATATTTCGTCGAGCAGTTGTTTTTATGTACAATATTATAAACAATTCGGGTTTGTCAATATCGAGAACGTCAATTTGTACGTGAATACAAATCGATTTTTAACTAAACTGTGGTTTAGAGTATTAATTCAACAAAAAGTCTCATGTTATCTAAAAGAAATGGCATAGACCATTAAACAGTGAGCTTACTATAAACTAATTTGAAAGTCTTAATTTCTATAGCCATTATATATTATAAATATAGTATATCTAAACCTGTTTGTGAAATTGTTTTGATAAACACGAAATCAGCTTCCTAACAGGCTGCTTAGGCTGTGTTCATAGTTGCATTTTAAAAAGGTTTCAAAACATTCTGTAATGCAAATTACACGTACCCAAACACCGTACAAACGTGTGATAACGATAATGAAGACATTTATCGATTAGTTTAGAGCTTGTCGTAAATTACAGTAATAGTTATCTATTAACATGAAAATAATTATACGCCAAGTAATATCTAGGTGTTTCCTAGTTTAATTTATGTAATATGGCGTCCGTCCCGGGCCTGGGGGAATATTATTATTTCGGATTCACAGAAAGCCCATAAAATACTGGTCCGCAAATAGAATCTATCACTGTGACACATCAAAGTATTTGCCCCTTGCCCCACAGAGGGAAAGGAGGTTTAGCATAGAATAATTGCGTTCTTATGTAGGTTGGTTAGCGATGGGGAAAGTAAGTATGACGTTAAAACCGTAATAGCGAGTAGTAATTTTTATTTGTTCGCAGATTCTGAAAACGGTTCAACGTAATTATAGGCGAATTATAACTTACTAAGTAAATGATCGCTTATATAAAATGTAACTTAATTAAACGATTTTAAATTTCTTTATCCGTAATGGCAGTAATCAAAATCCGTAGATCAACTACTTAAGTGTAGTTACAATGTCGAAGAACAGGTCAACGTGTGTTTTAAAGGTTATCAAACCAATATGTATTTAGAACAATTAAACGAATCTCATTAAAATAAGATACATAATTATGTAAATAATATTATGCACTTATATCTCATTTTCTCTCAATAATTACAATCTACCTTTCATACATAATAATGCAATAAACTTATTAATTTATCATATCTTAAATTAGTTATGAAGTTTGCATTTAAAGAGTTGGTTATCAAGATCTTAACTCTTTTAGATGGTTAAACCAGAAATTAATTGTGTTAATTATTTTTATAATAAGTTGATTAATTCATAATTACATTATCGATAACGGTTTTATACGTGTTTGGAGGATTTTTAGTACAAATGTGATTATGTTGTATTAAAATTGAATATTATTTTGATATATGATATTATCTTTCTTAAGGAAATATATGACGTAATCTTACAGAATAACAATGTAAACAATGAATACTGAATAATGGAGAAAAATTACTTCAGAAGCAATTTATTGTATTAAAAATCCTGATAAAAAAACCATTGCTTTATAACATTTTTGCTGACGTAAAAGAGTGGGTGGGACAAATTATGATCGCTAAAACACGTCGCAAGTGTATCGCTTTGACGCAGAAGAACTTTCGCTAAAGGTTAATATTTTCCTATTATTTTATAAAACAACATACGTTCTTTAAGGTGTATTAGGACTTGATAATAATAATTGATACTCTCTTACGTAGGGCATGGGAAAGGCACTGTCTTTCTCTAATAGGATTTATTGACAGGTAAGTGAATTCTGTCCAATTATTTTTTATCCCGGGTTCAAACTCCAGTCATGCTGTAAGAAATGCGTTAGCCTTTAAGCCACTGAGGCGGCTAAAAAAAGCGTATAGAGTTAGTTATTAAAATGTTTAATAATTAAAACGAACGTAATGACTATTCGACTAATAATAATACGAAAACACGTATAAAACAAAGCGCAGTACAGTAAAATAAAAGAGAATAATGGTATTTAACAAATTACATCGATTGTTCAATGTTTAATCAGATGAAAAATATAACGATTTACAACTAACATAACAATAGTTCTATGTATAATTAATTATAACATATAAACACGTTCATGTTGCATGCTTTTACAAACTCACGTATTTTATGTTTCGTATAATCACGTTTTATTCGACGAAATATTCTTGAACACATAAGATTTAACGCGATTTTAAAACGAGAACTTGATTTAAATTAGGTAGAATGGTGGGTGTCTTGTTAGGGAAAGTGTTAATTACTATTTTCATAATCGAAGTTATACCATAAATAAAAATCATCTTAAATAAAACACTTGTAACGGTTTAAATCGCGAAATATATTAGTTAAGTTATTTAATTTTTCGGACGCTTTGTAACAGCCGTGGTCAGAGGGGAACGAAACGGCTGCTAGATAACTACTGATAAATAGAGATGGGATAACCTGACTTTTTATTTTTTCTTCTAGAGATTTGTTATATTTTTTATCTTAATCATATAAAATTGCTTATAAAATTTATCCTCATCCTCACTAATTGTTTTAATCTTAATATATTTTTTACTTAATATGGTTATTTTATTACATGTTATAATATCACAAAATACATCATGGTTGGATAATATGTTATAGTTTGTATGCGTTATACACAGAAACAATGCTGTGTTATGCAAATAGTTATTATTATCTAATAGCATTGTATTCAATTATGTATAAGTTAGTTTTATTTGTGAGAGTATGTTTGAATTATGGTTTTAACCAACAAAAATAATTGTATATGACTTTAAAGAATCAACTATAACGAATTCAGCTTTATAAATTTTTCTGAATCTTTCTAAATGTGAATTTTATATTTATAGTCTAATTTTCTTCTTGTTGTAGGTTTTTATTAATGACTCTTTAACTATCTAAATAGTTCTGTATTTCTCTTCGTCTGTATTGGATTTGTAAAAGATGGTAATTCGAGTAAGGTTACAATTACAATTAATAATGCGTTTAAGTTACTAAATATTATCTCTTTCCGTGTTAATGCTTTTGGTCGGACCCAACGTCGTTTATACAATATTATAAGCTTTAACTAGAATCTACTTCCGCTTTATAGATAACTATGTTTCCTTTTTCCTCCGGGAAACCTTACAACTTCCTGTGACTCCTCGAAGATGGATCAGGCAGATATTAGCTTTAAAGCCGCAGATTATGCAATTTTAAAGTAATAACAATGCTTAAGATACTTGTAAGTGGGCTAACGGTGGTGGCAAGGTGAAAGTATGTGCGGGGCGCGGTTACGAAGGCCGTCCACCACGGTGCGGTGTTCTGACGTCACGACGCAAAACGTAAGAGTAAAAAGATAAGAGCTTTCCAGTGCTTAATGAACAGGGGAATCGAATTTAGTGTACGTCAAACGTCTAACACATAAGTTTAACTTCAATAGCGTCGTGTTTGTTTATTAAAAAGTACCATTTCTACCATGATACGGTGGAAACTGTTAGTTTACAAGGAGAGCACGATAAATAACCTTTATATGCTAGAATGTCTCTTGAATAAGATTTTATTAAACAGAGCTTAACTAAACCGAGAAACAGGATTTACAAGTAATGTTTTTATTTTGCATTAATTTATAGGTATATTACAAATCAACCCATTTCTTTGAAAACCATCCAAAAATCATCCCTAAATCAGTATAATATGATATTGCAAGGCTAGAGTTAACAAAACAAGTTTTGCCTTACATGTTTGCAAGTTTATTTAATCTATAAATAATTATTAAATATATATTTATGTACCTGCTTGACAGCGAAAAAGACTAAAAGCGGCCTTCAAATTTTACGTGATGCAAAATAGATTATAACGTACTACAGTAATTGTTATTTAATATTTATTTATATTCAGTAGTGTTGAATCAAACAAACAATAGAGATTGAACACTTCATCGCCACAGACGATAATATAGTATGCATTTATAAATACGAGGAAAACTTTCACTATGCCTAGTAACACTGTTATGCGAATAAACAGTAGTCAATGATATCTTGCTTATTCTATAATATTGATAACTTGGAGCGTGAGCAAGACGCAGCGACCTCGACGATTACGGATTCAACATTTGAAATGTCATGAAAATGTCAGCGGCTGATCGCTTTAATAAATATGTAATAAATATTTTTCAAGTCCACTCGAGGTTAATGAGTATATAAGATTCACACGATATTCGCTTCCTTAGGGAACATGAAATGCTTAAATATTTTATTGAAAATATCACAGACTAAACGAACCAAAACGGCCAACAGTAATATATAATAATAAAAATTATTTGTTTACAGAAACCATATTCGCATATAAGAATGAAATTTTAAGCGTAATGCATTGTTTTTCATACGATATAATTAAAACACTTGTGTCTACTATCACTGACGTCACATTAGTATTATTCAACAGCCATATTTTTTAATTTATATCGTAAATGTCTACAGCTGTATATATAAAAGTATAAAAATTAAACCCTCTATTCAATCAAATGAAGGGATTTGATACCAAAGTAATTAGTAGTCTATGACGAAATTAGTCTAAGTTAGGTAATTTATTTAATAACTAAGTGAATTTTCAATTTAAAAAATATGTAAAAAGTACATTATCTTGAGTTTTCATTGCTGTAGTACTAATTTTCATATCTCAGCAGGAAAATAGATCTTTGCTCTTGCTACGCTTTGGAAAATAAAGCCTTATAATAATAATAAGAATATTTTGAGTCTTAACTTGTAGACAACAGCCATACTTCAACTTCTTAATTAAGTGTAGATAAGATTTTAATTCCTGGGAAGGTTGTTACTACATCATGATAAAATAAATTATGTATAGATTATGAAACTAACAAGTCTGACAAGTTTGTGAATTAATTTTTGATCTCGTGCAATGAATTTGTCTAAGAATATCCTGTTGACCTACATTGGACACTTTTAAGTTTCAAGCTTTTTATCGCTGTTCAGTTGCGGTATTTCACTGATGCTAAGCTAGCTTAGATATTGATCTTATATCTTAACCTTTCGAATTACCTAGTTAATCTAGAATTAAATACACAACTTCAATTGTCGTAAGTAAGATTTGACGACAACAGCGACGGCAAAATGTTAGTCTGGTATTTTGGAATATCTTTATATAATATAAATATCTTAAATAGTTTGGAAGAAGAAAGTGTTACGATACTCGTGCTTCTGTGCTAGTGGCATTCGCAAAAGCTTATAAATCCGCGTTGGTGCATGATGGGTTGAAGGGATGGGTTGTGTCTAACAATGCGACATTAATAGGTTGAACAGAGAGATGTGTTTATAGTAAGCTAACTGACGTCTATGTGTTTGAAAATGTATGTATTTTTAACATGTCGTTGCATATGATGGCATTATAATATACATTACCATCGATTTCAGATTGAAAAAAAACGACACGGACGGGGCTTGAACCGGCATTGACAAAGTTCCGTGCTGGTGCCCTAACCAATTGACACGGTATTCTATTAATCATTATCAGTTCAAGTCCCACTCTGGTCTTAATTTTTTTTTTCAATCAAAAATCTCTTAATTTACACGAACGAAAATAAGTTCTAGTTCGTAGCGCTACGTAAAATATCCCGGTTTCGTAGTCGATCCCATAAACGTAGCAATTTAGTTTCGTAGCCACGTAGCCATTTGTACATGTTATTAGATAAATTTATTGTCTTTTTGTAACTCATCAATAAAGGAAAAACTACTTATCATATACGTTTCGTTAAATTCGTTGTTTAGTCGTGTCTTTGTAACGAAAATGTATTTTTATTAACAGAGAGTCTTTGTTGTTCTACTAACGAGAAAATTTTTGGAAAATTCAAGTATTAAATACAGAAATTTTCTTCCATACATGGTAAGTCAATTTGTAGCAATTGTAATGCAACTGGCGCCGCGCAGACGCCTCCCGTCGCTTAGCAACGCGGACGCCTGTCTGTGCCCCATTTTCGCGCCATCGTTACCTCCCATTACTCCAAGAATTATCATCTAAATTGATATGTTGCTGATAACATGGGGTGTTAATTAATACCAGACTAATATATTTTTATCCTGTTTGATGGCTGAGGCATTTTGGCTAAATCATAATCTATTTTAGATTGACTTCAATCTATAGTTCACGTGAGTAGAAAAATAACGATCTTAGATAGTGAAAGAAACTGAAATGTCGTAGTTAAAAATACTTTGGTTAAGTGAGTCTTGTAGTTCTTTTATTTAACTATTGGTACCTATAACATGGTATAACTTATGCTCGAAACATATTACAATAATAACGATAAAATTCACGATTTAATAATCATATTTAATAATTTACAAACGTTTACATGCGGTGTATTAGACACGGCCGTCAATTTTTTTTATTAAATTGAATCTGGTTGTATAGACATAGCACTAACTCGTGAATATTTTAAAATGTTATCAGCTAAGCAGTTCGTAAATTATTTGAACATTTCGTATGTAATTATGTTTATATTTTTAATTGATCGAAACATGCCGTTCACTTACGACCGTTTCCTTAAGATAAACCCACCTTTAATTGGGTAAAAATGTCTACACATTAAATATTATCGTCGTATCGTGTCTAACTAATAATCTAGTGCTCACAGAATCAAACTTTGATGAACACCGAATTAGAACTATTACGATATACGATTTTACAGTAGAGATCTAATTTACATAATGGATTTTCAGAGCTCGAGATGCCGCAGTGGGCGAGCAACGAAGGTGGTGGGTCAGAAGCGGCATCCCCTAACCAAATGATACTCTGCTACGATGACCAGGCCTCGGAGTACTTCGATGACAAAGCCGAAGATGCTGATAAAATAGAACAGACTGGTGGTAAGTTGTATTATTACTGTTAGGTTCCTAATGCTATTTCTTATATAAAAATCTCGTAGAATCGGCCTAACACATTTCTGTGTCCGATTTGTTCAGACGTCGGTGCACTGCCTGACTCGTGTTTAACGCAATGAAAGCCAACACGTTCAACTATTAAGCTACGTGGCGACAGTGTTAGCGTTGAGTTAAAACTATAAGCTTATTTATAATAAGCTAATAGTTATAGTGGTTAGCTATTTCGATAAAAGATGACATGCATCCTTATCAGCGTTTCATATTCTAAGCATTTGCACAAGTTTGATTATATAATGCATCTTAGCATCTACACAATTGATTTTAACACACAAACATAAGTTATATATAAGAGAAATTGCAATAACATAAGAGAAACATTACATTTTCAAATATACACTGGTGTTAATATAACCCGATTCTTGTTCTTAACACACGAACGTGATCGTTTATAGTAATATTTTAATATTCGTTCCACTGAAACAGTTTAGGTACCTACACAAGACATTCGTGCAACGCATACCAACAGTTTTTTTAATTATCACCCACATAGCTTCATGCGTCGCGAATGTTATAATAAATTATTATAGAATACACATTATGCGTGAAAATCTGGCGAATTTGACGATATCGATAAGAACATTACGAAAATCGCCCGTAGCCGTGCGTTCAAATCGATTAGTCTGCATTCGCTCTTACGCAAATACAATCAAGCGTGCAGTCGTGTCACGTAACTCCCAAGTTTCGTGTGCCAGCTCTTGCCGCAATTTTCAAATGATCTTTTATGTTGTTACACTGTACGAGATGCGCGCGCGACGTTACTCGCAGTAGGTACTTTACAATAGAACGAGAACGAACACTATTACTGTAAAATGAAAATTGGCGATAAAAGGAGCGACGGCGAGTTTATTGCCTGTTCTTCTCATTCGTTTTACGCCCTTGATTTGAGAACTAGTAGAACATGTCTTTACGTTATAGATCTTGTGTTTGTAGAGTTTTGTGACATTCATAAGTGCACCTAGTTACCTACGTGAATAAATGAGTTTAGACTTTGATTATACATTTTTTGGTCTAATGGTGGCAACATTTAGCTAATCATCGATGGTTAGTGGGTTCGATTCTTACGAACGCATCTTATTTACATGTTATATGCCTTGGGTATTTTCTTCTTTCTCTATCATAAAAAAATCGGGATAGACATTCCGGAATACTATTCAATGTAATGTCAATGTTTCGGGATATCTATTAGCATGAACAAAAACTACATTGAAAACTATTTGTATCAATATCAGTGTAGCCATTGAAGCGACAGAGTAACAAACATACTAGTATAATATATTAGTAAAATCGGATAAATACTTAAGCTTTATGTTAAACAAACGACATTCGTAAATTAAAGCTATTATTCGCTATGACATCCAAAATGCTTATCAAAAAATTATCGGATTAGGAAAGTCCAGTTATCGCAGTTTTTTCATAAACCCTTCTGTTTATAGGATTGATCTATAGTATGGAAAGTAAATAATGATATATATTTAGTGATAAGTACTTCGGGTATCTAGAGATATTGTGTTATAGGAGAAACCTAAAAAAAAATAACTTTCTCCCTTTTTTGTTCTAAAGATCATTTTTAATTAAAAATCATGATTTATAGTTATAGTAAACGTCATATTTATTAAAATATGACGTTCCGCCATCATGTTTCCACCAAAATTACCTTTTGAAAACTAAACAGAACAAAAAAACTACTAAGTTCAATTAATCAATACTAATTTGTTTAAGAATTTAAAATCGACGTTTTAGTAATTACAGTACTAAATAGGCTAGAGGCAATCTCTAAATAAAAGACCTCAACATCGCCGTAACACTTCGCAATTTAATTTTCCTTTCACTTGCAATCATTTGTTCTAGATTTCTACGATAGTGGAAGCGGTAGTGACGAGCAAGTTCGCCGCGTCTGTCGGCCGCGAAGGACGGCGGCCAGTTCCTCCTCCTCTGGAAACAGTTCCAGTGGCCCAGGCCGACGTAGGCGTTGCGGCGTATCTGCGAGGGAGCGCAACTTACGGAGATTAGAGAGCAACGAACGGGAACGCATGCGCATGCACTCGTTAAATCGCGCGTTCGAAGTTAGTCAATGATTATGTAATTAATAATAAATAGCTATGTCAACGACTACGTCCGCGTAGGATAGTTATTTGGAACATCAAAATTCCTTTTGCAAATCTTAAAAGATAGATCTTCATTTTTTTGGATCATTTAAATTGGAATCATTCTTTCATACATCTTTTTTGGGCATCTTAAACTGTTTTCACAGCGCACGCAAGGAAAGCCCTTAAAGATGAATAATTTCCCGTTCTCCTTTTTCTACTATTTTTCTACTAAGTATACCTTTGCTCCTATTTGTCACGTCGTGATGTTTTATAGCCTTCCCCGATAAATTTTCTAATCACAACAAAAATATTTTTCTTCAATTCAATCCAGTTGAGATTAACGCGTTCAAACAAACAAACAAACTCTTCAGCTATATATATTAGTATACCTACATTACTACAATGCACAATTTCAGCTGAAGAATTGATAATAACGCATTAGTTATTAGTTAGCAGTCTGTGCAAAATATGTAGCGTATGAATAACAAAATCGTTTCCCCATTTCAGGATCTTCGCCGTGTAATTCCACACGTGAAAAAGGATAATAGAAGCCTATCGAAGATAGAAACTTTAACTCTTGCCAAAAACTATGTCAAAGCTCTCACAAATGCTATTTGCACTATGAGAGGAGAAGTTCCTCGATACCAGTGAGTATCTAAGATTCATTCACTCTATTCATGGCTACGGTTGTGACCATCCGAAAGCTTTGGCCGTAGTTAAAATGTACAAGATTAATATAATAAATTCGTGTTCCAAATCGCTAGTGTTCTTTTGTATCTCAGTGAAAGTTTAAAAAAGAAAGTTATACATCAACAAAACAAATTATACACCATTACATCTTTATGTTACAGATTTAATAGCGAAGATGAAAATGTGGAGCCTGTATTTGTTATATCCCGAGACCAAGAACAAAATAACAACATGCCAAGCGACGGCGACACGGAAGAATCAGTCCCCAGTGTCTGCCTTTGACGAAATTTGCGACCGAGGCATGGTAAATTTGGCCGTGTTCGGCCAACGATGGCGGTCGCTTTCAATACATAATACAATCAAACCGCGTCTATAGTCTATACTTTGACGATTTAGATGATCTTGTATCCACGGAAGACGAATCTGATGTTACGATTACTTGGCAACGTTTTGGACTCTGAGATACAGAACAAAATATTTCTACATTACTACTATGTCAATGTAGGATCGTGCTGTATTCAAAATACTGCTAGTATTTCGTGTAATTAAATGACTATTAGATGAAAATTATTTTATATTTAAATTGTATCGTAGACCGGAGAAGAAAAATTCAGTTTGTCTCTTTGAGGCTATTAAAAAATTGTATTTCGAATTAAAAATTGGACTTATTTTCCGAAATTATTCTAATATTACTCTATAAATACCTCAGTATCTTTAAATAAAACACTTTAACGGTTTAAAACGCGATTTTTTTTTTTAACCTTTTTTAAAATTTTTTTTTTCCTCCCGCCCCGGGGTTGGGGGGTTTTGGGGGGGGGGGGGGGGGGGGGGGGCCCCCCCCCCCCCCCCCCCCCCCCCCTTTTTTCCTTTTTTTTTTTTTTTTTTTTTTTTTTTTTTTTTTTTTTTTTTTTTTTTTTTTTTTTTTTTTTTTTTTTTTTTTTTTTTTTTTCCCGTTTCAGGTATCATTATCGGTTATTTTTGGACTACAGCCTCAAGTGCATTAGCTTTTTTAAAACACGACAAAACATGTACACTATGGTGCTATCACTATAAACTTAAGTATTGCAACACACATTTTTGAACATTTATTGATTTTGAGATCAGCAGTCTTCACCAATTATTCCTTTTTTCAATTCTTATTTTTTAACTGGTTTGTATTTTATATAATATTCCTGACACATTCCTGGTCAGATGATTTCTGAATTGATCTCTCCTGGGGTGCCAATTTAGATAATAATGTTGTTCTGTGTCTTGAAATTAAATCCTTAAGTCATTAGTTTTTTGTGATAGCTGGAATCGTAATTCATTATTCGTAAGATACGATTATATTATTTGTAAACTTATTTATTTATCAGCATATTCTTCTACGTTATACAGATTTGTATTTAAAAGATCTCTATTTACATTATTTATTGAGGTATAAACTAAATCGTATAACTGATTGAAAATATTGTTAAAGTGAGTACTTACGTATGTAGAAAATAATTATATTTTTTATATTGCTTAAAATCTCAAAGTTACCATAAGTCGATTTATTTATTTTATAAGTGTATAAAATGTATGATCCAAGATTTAATTTTATTGTTTTAGTTTTTTTTTTTAAGTGGTTACTCTACTAAAAATACAAAGGTACGCCAAACGTGTTGTCTACCTACAATAGTTTTGTTGATTTTGTTTTTTAAACAAACTTTTGAAATTATTCTGACAGATCTAGCATATTACGTACTCATAAAGTTAAATTAATAATAATATATTATAATATAATTATTTAATATGAATTATTTCTATAAAATATTGGTATACCCATTTTATTTTACTTTTCTCTTCTTTTTATTTTAGTTTACCGTTCTCTATAATCTTACGGATATTACGGAGGCATTGTAAAAATATTTCCCAATGCCATGTGCAAATTATGTTAAGTATTTTAATGATTGTTGAAGCGAAGGAGATCTTAAATAAAATATCGTGAAGCAAATGATTAAGTATGTTTTATTGTTTCAATTAATCAGATGATAATTTAAATATAACTGTTCATATAATGGTTTAATTTTTTCAATTGTCGCATCTTTATAATGATACAATACAGCTGTGGTATGAAACCCTGTAACACAGCTGTATAAAGAAATATAGTCTACACTCTACAGTCTATCCCACAGACGTACATAGATAAAACATGCATAGCTGTGGTGAGTCTGTGGTGAGAATTATTATTAATCTTTTAAACAAACAAAGGATGAGATATTTAAAGAATATATCTTTATCATTATTTTACTGTGATATTTAAAAATATTCTCATATATATACACATATGGAAACCACGAATATTATAAATAACAACAGGCAATACCTGCGGAATATCGCCTCATGGTCGTATTTGAATGAACGAAACATTGACTTTGACGTAATTGAATCAAGAATGACTTGCCATAATGAACGAGATAGAATTTAACATAGATCTTTGACCGACTACTGACTTTGTCACTCAGTTTTGAGAATGAGATTTGAGAACAATTGTTATAAAAAAAACCACATCGAAACTCGAAACTCGGATGCGCTTGTGAAAAACTAAAAACTGGAAACTTTATAAGTCCGTATTGTATTTGTGTGTGAAAAGTTTAATAATTTAAACATAGATGTATACTTTTTCGATATAAAAGAAGCAGACATTGTTCGTATTAAGGTTACTTTAGAATATAATTGATAATATTCCTTCAGGTAAAGATCTGCGTCTATCACAAATATGGCCGATCAGTAATCATTCCGTGGTCAGTATTATTTTACTAAGTTCATAGTCATGCATAAAATGGAGCTTCGAGTTGGAAATAAGTATCGTTTGGGCCGTAAAATTGGTTCTGGATCCTTTGGGGATATTTATCTTGGTAAGTGTTTATTGAAATTATTGTAAACAAAGAAAGGAATGATGTAGGCCAGCTGTAGTTTTTTTTGTTACTAATTATTTCTATTGGGCAACGGGAATGTCAAGTGACAGCATAGAATTTATTAAATAAAAGCAATGTTTGTTGTTAATGAAACAATAATAACAAAATATCAATATGGAGGATTTGATATCCATGTGATTAAACTAAGATCTATCATTACAAGTTACCTATTAGTCATGGTGTACCCTTACTGCATGGTATAGAAATATATTTTTAATCCCTTTTGCTAGAGATAAGATATCTGTATATTTTTCCTTATTAAATTAAGCAGTAACAAAAACAAGATTCTAAAATAATTTAACCCTATTTTTCAAAATTGTATATGTTATACTTACTTATTGTTTTAGGTACGAATATTGTAACCAGAGATGAAGTAGCAATTAAATTAGAATGCATCAAGACAAGACATCCACAATTACATATAGAAAGTAAATTTTATAAGCTTATGCGAGGAGGAAGTGAGTACAAATTTTAATAACATTGTACACATACAGATTATTGAGTCAGTTTTGGCAAATTTTAACAACCTTTTACATAACCTATGGCTGAGACTTGAACCTCTTAACAGGGGTAACACCTTGTAACACCGGTCTTAATCTATGACCAAATTGGTGCATGTATTAGACACTACTCATCATGTGTAGAACTCCAGGACTTGCTGGGGTTAATCCGTTTATACATAATAGTCTTTTGTAGTAATGTACTCTGTATCAGAAATTAGAATGTACACAAATATACATTTTTTTGATGCGCAACTGGGGACCAAACTAACCTTTGGAATAAAAATTTACTTGCCACATTGTTCTTGTATTAAACATAAATAAAAGTTAAATGTTAAGAACAGATTATACTACAGACAAAAAGATAATTCCATGTGTTCTTTATTCTTGTATCAAGAACAAACATACTACCTTTATTGCGCTAATAAATTTTGTTTGGTTCTCAGTTGGAATTCCAGATATAAAATGGTGTGGTTCAGAAGGAGATTACAATGTTATGGTAATGGAACTATTAGGCCCTTCATTGGAAGATCTCTTTAATTTTTGTTCACGTCGGTTCTCTTTGAAAACTGTCCTGTTACTTGCTGACCAGCTGATTACACGGATAGAAGATATCCACTATAGGAATTTTATTCATAGGTAGGTGATCTCCATTTATTATATATCGAAAGACTATATTGTTATGTGTCAATTGAATAGGTAAATTAAAATGTAACAGATAATAAATCTCTCAAACAGATGTCTATAATACAGAGTATTATTCATGTTATGTATATGTTATAGTATATATTAAACTGCAAAGTTAGTACATTAATTAAATTTGTATTAGTTTTATAATATTGTTATTGGTAAATATTTTAGTTTTCTTTTCTAGATTTTTTTAATGAAATCACATTTATATGTATAAAAGTAGTGTTGGGAAAAATGATGATTCAGTTAATGTTTATTTTTGCACTGGTGTGTTTTCTCCACTAAGAACAAAACGGGATTTTATATGAGTATATGTACTTACAATTTTAACTTAATAAAAAAATATATAGTAAAGCAATCATTTGCAATCTCTTGTTTAACTCTTAAACAACTGCATGCTATGTTAATGTTGAATATGTTATTGTCTTATCATAATAATGATAAATATGTATATCACTTCGAGTAAAGTTGCTTTTACATACCTACTGGACATAATTCTGGACATAAGACTTGCCAGGTTTTGTTTAAGTATCTGTTGCCTAGGTCAGGATAGAAGGTTATAGATAACATCTAACCTCTCTTGACCAGTAATAACTTTACTCTTGTGAGTTATTTTTATCTTATAAAAATGTTTTAAATATCTTTATATTTTGAGTTTAGTTTGATACACATATTATGTTTACTGGATGTTGAAAATTTATCAAGATCTAAACCGATTTTATAATTAGAATTATCCTTCTGAAATAATTATGTTAATAGTATGAATATTCTTGCAAACTCAACAATGAGTCAATTACCATAACATTATCAGTCATATTGTAATCATAAATTTATTGAATATGATTAAATTGAAGCTGTAGTCAACATTGTATAATTATTTGCCCAGATAACAAAGTTTAGTGGCACTACATTGAAACCTACTACCAAAATAAAGATTATTATGATAGCAGGTTCCGCAGTAATATAAATGGAGGATACTAACTTAATGATATTTTTCCTGCAGAGATATCAAACCAGACAACTTTTTAATGGGACTCGGCAAAAAAGGCAACTTAGTGTACATGATAGATTTTGGTTTAGCCAAGAGATACAAGGACCCACGCACCAATCAACATATTCCTTATAGAGAAAATAAAAACTTGACAGGTAATAAATTTTGATATTAAAAATAAAAATTCTTGCGTTAATATTGCAAGGTAAAATTGCATAACACTGTCTTCTAATCACAGCGAGAAAGCATATTTAATAACTTTTAAGTATAAATCGTATAGGCCTTGTGGTCAACTAGCAAAGCGGTCAGCTGTTGTAATTAGAAGAAGTAATAAGTGCAGTGCTAGAACATACTAAATATAAATAGCTGAATAGTTCAAAAGTCCAAGTAGTTTTGTTAAATGTTAAATGGTAGTCTACCTTCTACAATTTTAAAGGAACCTCTATACGAATAGAGCTTCAAAAAGGATGAGATATATAAAGTTTCAAATCGAACTATAATTATTGCCTAAACTGCACTTGCCCTAGTTCAGTCGTATGAAATTACAGCATTTGTTGTTTTTAGGCACGGCCCGATACGCCTCGATAAACACTCACCTCGGAATCGAGCAGTCGAGACGCGACGACTTAGAGTCTATGGGCTACGTGCTCATGTACTTCAACCGCGGCAGTCTGCCGTGGCAAGGGCTCAAGGCCGCCACCAAGCGACAGAAGTACGAGAGGATATCCGAGAAGAAACTCTCCACTCCCTTCGACGAACTGTGCAAAGTGAGTTTATTTAATTAAAATACCACGAAGCCCTGGCAGGGATGCCCTAATGCAGCTTTGATACTTACTTGCTAGAAAAGTTGACTTTGTGTCTTGCCAACTCACTCGGCAGACTATGCATAACATAACATTCTTGCGGCTGGGACGCGAAGCACCGGAGTTATTATTATTGTTATGTAATTTTTATGTCTACTCTTCCTTATCGACGGTTCTGATCCTGTACAAAAACACATTAATCTAACTTGGGTAATTACTTATGTATAGGTCAAAAGCCTTTGGCGAAAATATTTTAAACTTGTTCAACTTGCTTGTTAGTTTTTCTGTAACAATGAACGTAACTCTTATTATATTTTTGTTGGTTATACTTGTACACTTACATTGCCTGTATTTTGTACCAGAACCATCCGATCGAGTTCCAACTGTACCTGAAGTACTGCCGACGACTCCGCTTCGAGGAGCGGCCGGACTATGGCCACCTTCGCCAGCTGTTCCGCACTCTCTTCCACAGACAGGGCTTCACCTATGACTATGTGTTCGACTGGAACATGCTCAAATTTGGTATGCCAGGTAATAAATGACTAAGATAAGTGGCAATGGTACAATAATATATCCTCTAGCAATAAGTGTCTTTATTTAAACTAATAGTATTTTTAATTTTTAGCTTAAAATGAATCTTAATAAACGACTTAAACGGTTTAAAGTTCAATAAATATTAGTAAAACTTATTTGGAAATTATTTGAACTACTGCCCGACGTTTCGGATGATATCGCCTTTCGCCATCGGTGGGTCTTAGTTAAAGTAATTTCCAAATAAGTTTCACTAATATATATTGGACTTTAAACCGTTAAAGTGTTTTATTTAAATGTGTAATACTCGCCTAAACTTCAAACAGTATTTCATACAATGAATTTTTATATTTGAGAACAGTAACAGACCACTGACCTATTACATCAGTTCCCTACTTTCTGGATTAATGTTTTATTTTTGGAGTAGAAACTTAATATAGTACTAACATTTCAGGTGTCGGCAACACACGCAACAACCAGCCCCCAAAGCGCCGCGATCAGAAAAAGAAACAAGAGACAAGTAAGTAGACTTAGGTTATTTAGTAATAAAATGTAGTGAAAAATTAATTAAAATCAATGAAGGGTGTTTTTTAATCTTTACTTAGTGGGCTATAACTATACAAGGTTTTATCACTCCATAGGACTTAAATTGTACAAAACAGACATACACAACATACATTACATAAATTAACAAACAAGTTAAGAGTATGATTACTATAAAACTATCTAAATATTGGAATTATAATATAAGTTTAGTGGTATCCTAGTCTCCCTGGAAAATGGGAACGAATATACTACTATACCACTCAACACTGAACACTAATATATTTACTTAATAACTCCCTATATGAGGATTTTTTAACATTTAATTAAGAATTTAATTAACTTCAACATTTTTCACATGATGGCACTATGTAAATCAAAAAGCGATTATAAATTTAAAAAAATTGCTGAGGATGCAGATTCATGTCAAGCCCGCGTCGTATTTTTTTTCAATTTAGAATTAATTTAATAAGTGATAAAACTCAAGTTAGTAGTTTCCTAATTGTTTCTTTAATATCAGCAGGCACAGCGGGAGCGGCGGCCCCTCAGCCGAGCACCACGGTGGCGGCCCCTCAGCCGAGCACCACGGTGGCGGCCATCTCCGAGTGGCGGTGAGGAAGCTCGCGCAAACGGCCGCGCAACACCACCTAGACACAGTACATATCACCCGCAGTCGCTCAACTACACCGGCTCCCGAGCCACCGTTCCGTGTACTGTGACAAAGACGGTTGCACTGACGTCGTGGGCGTTCGACGACTGTTCAGTGCTAGGTTTTATACGTTTCATTACTGTAAATTATTTAATCTGTGCGCCACGGCGGCCACGGCGGCCACGACGCGAAACTATTGCACTTTATGCTCAGTTATATTTAGGTCGTGTATACTTGTGAAATGTATGGACTAATTAGCGGACGTGTTCTACGTGTTCGGAATATTTAATCGTGGCTTTACATTCACATTTTAAAACCGTTAAAAATGGCTGAGAACAATTAGCGTTTTTATTACGTTGCTTGATAATTTATGCATTTATTTAACTCGGTTAAGTTTTATTTTATGATCAGTCATTCATTAGATGAATTTGGCCGATATACGTCGGATGAAATGGCCTAAACTTTTCAGTGATCGTATTAGATCAGAATTTGTGAACTTTTGTGCAATACGGTTTTTTTTTATTGTCTTCCATGTTTTTTAACGCGTGGAGTTCATGTACAAAGTATGTTTAACTCAGTCCAGCCACTGCCATAGTTATAAATTAGGTATTGCATCCGAGGTCGAATATTTGGAATAGTGTAAAAGTTTCATTGACTTTTTTGTGTCCAAAAACGAAAAGAGATCTCACTAAACTTTTGTCTTCGTTTGAGCAGATTTTGCCACTGAATTTTGACGAATGAAAAGAAATCTCCACCCAACAGTAGGAAGTGCATGCATCAATATATATTATTATTTCGTTTCAATATACTTAATAAATTTTAATTCTGCCGTCCTCTGTATGTTCATTTGGTAGAGGACATTTTAACACTAGAAACTTAACACTCGATATATTGAAGTGAATCTATTAATTTAGGCTGGATTTTTAATAGCAATCAAATTTGATAGGGAAAGAAAAAGAGGCGGTTTTTAGTAATGTACGGTACCACAGACGTGACTTAAGTCTTGGGAATTATAATTTATACATGAAAATTATTTTTTAATCAATCAAAAAATCTATTTTAAGTTGCAACATTTGACAAATCGCTGTTGTTGTTGATTCAAATCAAGTTTACAATCTAAAATACAATTTTAATTTTTACGAAAAACTTATTTTAATAGATACAAGCTATGGTAACATTGCGTATGTACATACAATTAGGTGAAATCGATCAGTGTTTAGACTACGCGTATAGTTTAAGTTTGTAACCGAATTATTGTTTAAACACGACCTTTTAATACCGATAGGATTAGGTAATTGTATATCGTTCTTGAATAAGAAATTTCACGTATAGCTAATATAACCGAATCTGTAATATGACTGAGAATTAAGTTCAATGCAATGTAAATAATTTTGTTATAATTTGAGGTTGGCGTTAGAATATTCCTCGTACTATGATATTCCATAAGGTTTTAGTTGTAACATTGATTATTGGATAGTTGCCACATCGAAATTCAAATTAACATACAATCTTGGGACTGCACTGTTTGTTTTCTAACGTTTGCTGATCGCTCACTTCTGTTTCATAAATTTCCATACTCTCTGCACCTATTAAACATACTTCAAATATCACTTAACTCATGTTATATTAGCATATTATATATTTTTTTATTTAACAAAATCCGTTCCAAAACGTTTCCTCGACGTCGCGTGCCAAATACCAGTATTGGCATTTTGTAGAACTGAAATATTAAATGCATATATTCTAACGTTTTTATATCCAGAAGTATCTTAATGACATTGTTTTACTAAATTAACTAACGGTATTGTTTATATGTTAGCTGTAGGATGTCTATAAGGGCTTTTACATACGATCTTATTTATCGCGGACCTGATCAAACAAGAGAGTTACAGTTGTGTTCTATAATGTTGTTAAGGGTAGAAGTTTTGGTAGCGATGAATTTGATCAAGTGATGATGCAAGTCTACGTGTAAACAGCTCTTTCTCTGCCTATGAAATTACATTTATATACCCTTTCTAACATTAGCCGTCAAGATAACGAAATATGAAATATGCCCGATCACATTGTATTTTAAGACTTCCTATCTTAGGTAGGTGGGACTTGTATTATTGATGTGGTGAGTCTCCACCGTTCTTGCAAGATATACGGTCAATAAGGATCAAGCTAATAGCTTAGCACCATTGTTGCTCGGTCTTTACGCGCTGCCTGGAGACATTAATGTGCGAGACAGCCTGCTCAGTCAGTAGAAACTCGCCTAAAATTTAACGAACAGATGACGTCCTTAGTAACTTTGGTGTAAGGAATATTATCAAATATTGTAAACGTCGGGCGATGTGAGTTGTGTTCACTGATCTCAAACAGAGACTACCAGGGAACTTACTCACTATTCGGACGAGTTTTGACTCTTTTTGTGTAGTCTGGTTGTGCTAGCTACTAACCAAAAAGAACGCATAATCTTCGATTCGGATCAACTCCGCAGATACGTCGTGAACAACATTCCTACGGGGTGTTGTATTCGAGGGATTCGTGTTCAACTATGTGCGAGGACATTCGCGGCTGGTGAACGCTTTGAACTGCGACAGACAGCTTGAAATGTCCCCTTTAACTAATGAAAGACTATGAACTTAATTGTGTATATAATAATCGTAAGATAGTTAAGCCAAAACACTGTTTTTTATAATATCCTAGGTAATTATAATGAATACATAACTGTTGTAGTGATAAAGTCATTATTTGACATATTTTTATTGCAAACCTTTATTCATTTTCTGTAACCGTTTGTCTTGTAAAGCATAATAATATCTTAACCTCGGGTCGTATGATGTAATGTGTAATTTGTATCAAATATTTTTCTTTGTCCGCGTGAGAGATGCCGCATCGAATGTGTAGTTCGTAATTGTATAAAGAGTAGGTAATCTTTGTAACTCGGACTTAAGGCCGGAATATTATATATGTTGTGTACATTATTCCTGATTTATTATTACTTGGGGAAATTTACAAATATTCTATAATCAACGCAAGTAAAAATATTCGACTATTATTGTAATTCAATTTTAAAATCTCTTAGAACCAATATGCGACGCCTTGATGTCAACATTTTAAATAAAATAATAAATATTTTTCGTGATTTTCTTGAGGTGCCTGTAATTCGTGAAATAAGTTGCATTTTGTGGAGGAATGACTGCAGAGTATCGTTAGCTTAGCATATTATTATGCTTTGATATTATAGTCTATTATTATGCTTGCATTGTTTTCTACGTCCAGTATGTATTGATTCCTTTAGCACAATAAAGTGGAGAAAAAATAATACAACGTTTAATTTTTATTATCTGTATTGAATGTACAGTAATAAGATATTTTATATTAAGTAGCTAAAAAGCCTCCGTCGACAGGCAAGTTGACACCATTAATCATACTCGCCTTATCGCTGAGAAGGAAGATTATAGCGTTCACGGCTTCTTCTACTTCTCCGAACCTAAAAAAAGAATAGTGTCGAAATGACTAGATACAACGTGAGATATCACAGCACAGGTAGGTAGAGGTGCGTACCTTCCTAGCGGTATTTTTGACAGCATCGTTTGTGCCTTTACCGGATCTGCCCAAGCCCTTCTGCCTAGATCTGTCATAATGACTGTAGGGTTTATAGTATTGACACGAATACCGCATGGCCCCAGCTCCAAAGCCATGACTCGAGTCATCGCGTCCAAAGCTCCTTTTGAAGTGCAATACGCCAAATGGTCTTTCAGGGCGGCCTTTTAAAAATTTATTATGGGCCAATAAGACAATAAACTACGAGGAGGAAGAACTCTGAAGGATATACCATACCATTGATCCTTGAGATGATATATTTACTATGGAACCTTTAATTTTGTTCGTTATCATCTTCTTGGCAACGATTTGAGTAATGTTCAATATGGCTTTTACATTTACTTGCATTGTCCTAGAATTTATAAGAAATTTAATTTTCCTTAATGATCAGTAAAACGGATACACAAATGACTTCGCCCCATGTCTCACGAGTTCCACTAATTTATGTTATTTTTATGATGATACTAACTGATCAAAAATATCGGGAGAACAGTCTAATAGTGGTTGATTTTCTATAAACCCGGCGCAGTTTACTAAACCATGAAATTCCCCGAGAGACTTGACAACTTCTCGAGTTGTATCCCAGTCCCGAAGATCCACACACGCAATTTCAATAGAGGGATACTCATTTTTAAGTTTTATCAGATTGTCCTCTTGGTGGGATAAGGCAGTTACGTTAGCACCGAGTCGCCATAGTTCAATGGCCGTTCCACGCCCAATTCCTTCAAAAAAATATTAGAAAAATCATAGGAGGCATCTAAAATAACGACTAAAGTTCTAATCTACAGAAATTCTCAAAGGGTTGTTAGCTGTAGTCTACACATTAGTTTACTAACCTGAACAACCACCAGTCACCAATATTGATTTGTTTTCGAAGAATTTTGTCATTTTTATATTTCAGAATTTATTTAAACAAAATGTGGTAGCTGTCGCTTATCTCAAGCCACGACAAATGAAAACAGTTTAATAAATTATAAAGTAGATAATATTAACTCGGTTTTGAGATAAAACATGCTATCAACAACAATGTTCATTTTCCATTGTATTGTGCCTTAATATTTAAATTTTGTAGTTATCCTATGCCATAAGAAATACGTATATTATTATGAATATTGTTCATGTCGCTAAATGAAACCAATTTTCGAATGTTGAAAAACATTTATTGAACAAAAAACAAGATAAGTACATAACTATAATTGCAAAATAAAAAATTAAAGTTTTAATTATTTCGAGATGATATCACAATTATATTACTGTTATACATTTGTCAGTGTATATACAACAAACACGATATAATTCTTATCCTTAAAAAAATTAAACAAATAATACTAAATTACATTATTTGCAAAGCTTTATATTCAAAACAATAAATTCGTTAATTAAGACATTAAATGACACAATTTGATTAGAACAGTTTCTTTTATTTGTACTGGAAGGCTCCAAGAGTTCAATTAGAAATCGGAAAACATTTTCGTGTTTAGTAAAAAGTTTTTATTCTTTGGTACCTAAATATTTAAAGATCTTACGTTCCGTAGTATACTTTTGGAATACATTTCTTATGTAGCTAAGAATCCTCCATCTACCGGGAGTTCAACTCCTGTAATCATGCTTGACCGTTCACCTAGCAAAAACACTACAGCGTTTACAACTTCTTGCACTTCACCAAATCTGTAAATAGTCATTTAAATTATGGTTTCTCCAATTGTATCAGAAAAAAATAGTTTATGCTCCGACACTACTTTTATCTTTTTTTTACTTTGGAGCAGTCGTTATAATGCATTAGGTCGAATTTAAAGGTGCTACATAGCAACTTGCAGTGTTACAATAGAATTAAAGATGAGAAAGTTATTAGTAATGAGCCTGGTCTTCTAAGTGAACAAAAAGATATTATATAACAGTAATTACCGCCTTAGTGGAATCTTAGATAGCATTTCACTACTTTTCTTTTCATCAGACCATCCTACTTTGGCCATGGCAGTCATAATAACAGTAGGATTTACAGCATTCACTCTAATACCATGCGGTCCTAATTCTAAAGCCATCGCTCGTGTTAAAGCATCTAAAGCTGCTTTTGATGCACTGTATATGGCATGGTCTTGTAAAGCAGCCTGCAAAATAAGAACAATGGTTTAGTTCCTTATCTGTCCCTAAATGATTAAATTCAATGTATTAACAGCAAGATGTCCGAAAAATGTCCATGATAATTAGGGCTGCCCCATGTCCCAGCGATTTTACATATCTTTAGTTTGTAGGTATGTTACAATTATAAATAAGGAAAAACACTAATCCATTAACATGATTTATGATAATAGTTTTATCAACCATTTTTTAATCCCATGTGTCAGTTTTTGCAGATAAAAATAACAAATGATGAGAAAAGAATAATCATAAAATATTTACCTTCGAAGCTTGAGATGATATATTTACAATTGTGCCATGAATTTTATTCTCTATCATTTTTTTTGCTACTACTTGGCTTATATTTAACACTGCTTTAACATTCACATCAAATGTCCTGCAAGTAATAGTAGTATTATTATTTGACACGGATTAAAGAGCAATTTAATAGCCTTTCCCTGATCATCATCAAGAAGAAATATGCATAGTAAAACATATTTATATCTGCAATTTTTGTGATGCAAAGTAATATTAATATTTAAGACTTCTTCATGTATTCAAACAAGGCTAGCGTTCAGATAATTTGATTTGATCTTAACTACCAGCAAATATAATTAAATTGAATTATTTGAAATATTATATCATACCTATTAATATACTTTAACCATATTTACCTATCAAAATCTACTGGTGTACATGTTAGGAAAGGTTCACATATGGCTATAGCAGCGTTGTTCACTAACGCATCAAATGGTCCTAGTGAATCTACGATGGCACGAGTTGTGTCCCAATTTGCAATATCTACGTCGACAATGTCGATAGAGGGATATTCACTTTGTAGGGCTTCTAGATGCGACCGTGTTCGTGATAATGCAACTATATTGGCTCCGGCACGCCATAACTCTACTGCGATTCCGCGGCCGATACCTATGTAATATAAAATTAGAATAGTGAATTAAGCAAAATAATCTTTCAATACATTAGGTACTTGATTAGAGCAAACATTGAAACGAAAAACAACAGTTAATCCAAGGTGGATTTTACGATTGTCAGCAAAATAAACAGGGCATACTGTATTTAACTTGTTTGTTCAGCTGAATTTTGTTACAACAAAGCAATATTAAATATATAAAGAATTGATAATAAACCTTGCCCAGCACCGGTCACAAGGATCCTTTTTCCTTTAAACGAGATCTCCATTATAAGGCTTTTTGTTTAAAGTAGGATTTCACTTAAGACTTCTAATGACTAAAGAAAAACCCATGCAAGTGGTACGAAAAAAAATTGCAGTTTTCTTATATAGGTAATTTTTAAAATTCAAACATAACCTAGAATCTGACACCCGAAGTTGTTATCAATTGTCAAGTTTAACAATAAATGTCGCTTAATTTTAAATGTCATTGTCATTTATTATCAGTAAATACTCTGTATAATATAATGTTTAGTTCGAGTAATCGAGTTTGAAATCGATAAAAGTGTTTTATTAAAATGTTCGTTTTACTTTACCATTTGCCTATTACTTCACTGCTTCAACCAACCAAAACAGAGCTAAACCTAAGAACCTAGATAACCTTGAATAACTAATGAACGATAATCAATTAGATTTAAATCATATATAGTATAATCATATATCATGTTAAGTAACTCACGACGGCATCAGTTAAACTTGGTGGATAAAATAAATGTATTGTTATGAGATATGATAATAAATATACAATGAGGCAGATCACAAATTGGCCGGTATATAGGTCAGTTTTTCTATGATCTTTCGTTTTGTTTGTCGTTACTCGTTGGGCTCTCTTTCACTTAGACGCAATATTATGTCTATAGCATTTTCAGTTTCTTGAGCGATAGTGATATAATCTTAACTTCCTTTAACGATTTTAAATGTGAAATGTCATTAAAATCACAATTAGAACAAAGAAGTCATCAAATTATGTATCTTCCAATTTAGACAATCATAGCCCTAATAGACAAATTAGGAACAGCCGTTAGATTATTCATAATTTATACCGTTGACAGTACTGTACGCAATCAAAACATGAGTTTTAATTGCTTTTTATAGTGAAAAGAATTGATTTGCCTGGGGGTTCAAATACAAAAACCGTAGATGGTAGCTATTTATGGTTTAGATAAATAATGCGTTAGGTACAAAATGTCGTTGCATTTTACTATGACTATTATTCACTTATTGTGCGTATTAATTTTGTATTCTAAATGTATTTACGGTAGCAATTTCTCTAAAAACTTTTTAGAATATACCGAAACCATCCCAACGCTTAGTGACTTGGACCATTTTGTGTCAAATTTAAAAAGGACTTTTTATTTTAACACAAAGCAGCCTAATAGAACTGATGCTAATATTGCAATTACTTCCTACTTAGTGACCTGTAAGTAACAATTTGTTAATGCAACCAAGAACTGTGGCATTTTATGAGGGTAGTTCTCAAAAATGTGATACGCTTACTCCAGACATCTTAATATTAATTAGTAACTGTCTTATGAAAAAAAAATGTTACTTTTGTATGTTATTTCATCTAATAACTACTGCTACAGGCATTCTTCAAAGAACATTAACAGATAATGGTAGGAAAATAACTAGCCATCAACTTGAAAGTATAAGCGATTTAATTAACAGAGGCAAATATTATATTTCGCATTATATTTATAGAAATAAACAATTTGGACACCAAGATTTGGAATACAAAGGTAGGATGCGTTGGTATGAAGTCTATCTTTTCATAAATACTTATTATAGTTTAGTAAGCAAGAGGGGGTTTTATTTTTTAAGAGACATAATTATCTAGAAGGTTTTAATTAAAAACGGTATCAAGTAGTTGTTATACATATGATTTATTTAAATAATAAGTTATTACAGACTAAGTTATAAAACCTTAAAAATCTTTCCAGTATCTCTATTGTACAAGGACGTAGATATTTTCGTTCAATCCATAAACAACGTAAGTGAGAACAGATTACACAAATGGATTTCAGGGGATTTAGAAATGCATTCATTTGTAGAGGCCATAGACAATTGCACGCTAGATAGAAAAGCGTTTCTATATATTGTTGAGTCTATGGATCAATATAATATTAATATGACCGCTTCAGGTAATATCTTGATACTGTGTACATGGGTTGAATTTGATTTGGCTTTCAATTTAATTTTTGACTCGAATCTGTGACCGATATTCTGCGTTTCTTTTTCACAATTGGGCGACATCTCTATTATATTAAATATTAAAATACACCATACGACACTACTTAACCCCTATTTTATGCCCTTAAAATTATCAGACCTCGTTAATATACACTATATATTTATACGTTTTAAGATGTATGTTTATCTCGAATAATTGAGACCCCGGAACCATTAAACAATTTCATGGTACAGCCTTGCCGTGAAGACGCATATTGCAAACATTGCCTCTCGTCTGGACCATCAATTGCCTATGCTCTATCTCACAGGTGAGCATATAATATGTAATGTAAAAGGTAAATGAAAATTAACTCCGCAACACTATAGAAAGGTCAGTATCACATTTCTTAACCCACACGTAAAATGTTAACGTTATAAAAGTTCATTTTCTTTCGAAGTTTATTATTTAAAAAGAAATTGTATATAATATATAAGAGGTTCTCTATTTAACCGACTTAAAAAAGTAGGTTCTCAAATTCGTAAGTATATATGCCTCTTTTTTATAAATAGTCGCGTATAGGTTGACTTCAAAATTATATTATAAAAATATTTATTAAATAATTTCTATTTAACTAAATCAAATAGCGAAATCAATTTATTTTTTATTGTCAGTTATTGTTTATTTTTTTTGTTGGTAAAATTTATTTTATTATTTTGACTTATATATTATATGCAGGCTTCTCAACATGATCTTCCGAAGAAACGTTCGTCGCTGTTTCATACAATCAGCGGCACAAGATGAGATTCTGAATGATCAAATGTGTGCCTTTATGTACAGAGAAGCAGTTTACTTGGCTAGACGTGGTTTCTTCGCTAGAGATCTCTTTCTAGAGCATGGTAAGGAATGAGTAAGAATCCGGCCCTTCTTTGAGACATAATTCCAAACTAGTTACTATAATTTAGATTTGTGGACCGAGTCCTATTCAAACATTGAAACGTTGTTACAGTCGCTCTTTGCGGAATCCTGGGTTATAAGGAATTTTATCGAATGAATTGGTTTTACAAAGCAACAAGCTGGATAGATGAATCTGGTTGTATGCAGGAGAATCCAAATTTCCTAATTAATCAAACCGTATTATATAAAAGTTTAACCAATAACACAAGAAAGAAAAAACATTATACTAAAAACTTAAAAAAGATTCTTCTCTTTGATTGTCATTCACACCCAATGGCTGTGCTCACAGTGGTTCTTGCAAATGCTGTTCGGTTTATAGCTCATTTTATGTAAATAAATAAATTTTATAATCAGCGGTGTAGAGCCATTTCTAGACTCTAGATTCTAGGAATGACTCTTTTATATTTTATAATATAATTCATCAGTTTTACTTTTATTTTCGCACGGTTTTGTGCAATACAGTGAATCTATGATTAAATATCAATAATATTGTCTTTCTATCCAGTGAACTCCATAGTATTTGCTAAGTTAATTATTGAAGGCGTAAATAGTTATTTTTCAAAATAAAATTGCTATTAAACAAATGGATTTAATTAAACGTTTTTTTAATGAATATTCACTGGAGGCAATCTATGTAGCCAAAAATCCGCCGTCTATCGGCAACTCGACACCATTGATCATGCTCGCTTTGTCGCTAAGAAGATAAAGGACGGCATCCGAAACTTCAGATACTTCAGCGAATCTGTAAATACACGCGAGATCATTCATTATTTGTGTGGTAAGTTATAGAAATGTTTCTTAATCCTACAGCGATCCTAAAATGGGCACAACGTCAGTCCTGTCTTGCATTTTGTTGGTTTCTTATTTCGGGAAATCTAAGCTAATATTTTTTTGTGTAACTCAGGCTTTAAATGGCATTTGCGTGACAAACACAAGACATAGAAGATCCGTTCCTTTTTTAAATTTCGCGACAAATATGAATTTTACATAGTAATTTATTTGGATTCTTATACAACTACCTTCGGCCGCCGCTCGACCAAGCAAGTTCGATTTATCTCGAAGGTTGTCAAAGTAACGCTCAAATTTGCATGCATACTTGAGAAATAATATTTTAGGTCATATTAGTATATATTGTCGCATGACTTGCCAGAAATATAATTAGATCATATTTTCCCTTTTTTTTTTAGACCGTGTTAAATCGTAGGTCCTATTTTTTCCGCCGATCTCGTGAAAAAAAAGGTGTGGATAAAACTTACCGTCCAAGAGGTATTTTTGATAGCATCCCCTCTGCCTTCTCAGGGTCTGACCAGCCAACCTGAGCCATTGCTGTCATAGTCACTGTAGGATTAACAGCATTTGTTCTAATTCCATATGGTCCGAGTTCTAACGCCATAGATCGTGTAATAGAGTCTAACCCGGCCTTTGATGCTGAGTAAATTGTATGATCCTTTAATGCGGCCTAAATAAAAAAACGAATGTAACTAAACTATCATCCTATAATTTCCTTAGTGTAATTATAAATATATATGTATAATAAACATGTAGGTATGTTATCGAAAAATCAATTTTTTTATTATTACTCGCACTTAACCAGTGAACGAGAATGGTATTGAATAAAACACTTTTAACGGTTCAAATCGCAAACTATACATCCCGCAGGAACATGGCTTCTGAAAACACCTGTTGTTGTTACATTCATTTTAGGTATAATACTTGCTGTCATAAGTTTATCATACCTTTGATGCTTGCGAAGAAATATTGACGATAGTTCCTTTTGTTTTATTGTCAATCATCTTTTTCGCTATTACTTGACTAATATTAATTATGGATTTGACGTTAACGTTTGCCATTCTGTAAATAAAGATGGATCGTGCTAGAACTGTAAGGAAAGTCACGAAAAAGCCAATCTAAAGATACTTGATCATTACATAGACAGCTTTATACGTTTTTAAAGCTATTTTGATTAACCTGCGCGTATAAGATATCTTATAACAAGCGCTTTTAGCCGTTTTTGTCTTAAGTGTATATAGCAGAATTGTCGCCAAATACGATGTTAAGCACCCGAGAACTTTTTCAGTGTTATAAACTTACAAATCGAAAGCCTTTGTCGTACATTCCAAGAAAGGTTCACATATTGCTACGGCCGCATTATTTACAAGAGCATCGAAATGACCAAGGGAGTCGACCAGTTCTCGAGTCTTGTCCCAGTCTGCGACGTCAACGTCCACTATATCAATCGCTGGATATTCATTCTTCAAGCTCTCTAGATGCGATCTAGTCCGAGACAAAGCCACAACTTTTGCTCCTGCACGCCACAGATCGATCGCTATCGCCCGACCGATACCTAAAAACAAACGAAAATCGAATTAGTATGAACTAATGTTTATTTCCATCTATGCCCTTATGCTAAGCAGGCCTTCTATCTCATAGGAGAATAAGTTTATAGACACTCGTGCAAGGTGGCCAGCTACTCCAAATACTGCTGAGCTGATATTTTGTTCGACCGACTATAGACTGCTAGACCAACGAAGTAGTAGTAATATTTTTTATGATAGAGAAAGATAGACAATCGTGGGGTTCGCTTGATGGTTGGTGAAACTACTTCAGCCAAATAACATCCAAACAAGTTGTGCTGTCCACCTATTTTGGCTTTGGATATTCGGAAATCCACAGACTGATATCGAAACGCGATACACTTGGTTAGTGACGGACGGAATTTCGATATTTCTACCACCCATTTAATTTTTACCACCATTTAGAAAAATTATTTTGATGAAAAAATAGATTCAAGAATAATTTCAGATCAAAAATTATGATAAAAAACAAAATACTAAAAGTCTAAACATACCTTGGCCAGCACCAGTAACAAGCACTCTTTTCCCTTTAAAAGAGATTTCCATTATGAATCAAATATTAATAATAGGATGATTTTACTCTAATCTCTCAAAGGCTTCTGTTGTTAGACCTCTACTGGCGAATAAAACCTGATAATATGAATATATTATGCCACAAGACCTTTGACCTTAAAGATTGTGCTCGAATTATTTTATACACAACAACATTTCAGATAGCAATGTGTTTACAGAATAATTTCAAAGATAAAAGCAAACATACCATATAGATAAGCAGAAGATAAAGATAAGTCTATACTGTAGATGTAAATCTATTGTTGAGATCTCTACTAACTTTTATTTATTTATATTTTTTCATTCCTGTACTATGTAAAATACAAACTTAGTTGCGTTGTAACAAACATACAAACATAGTATTTGTTCGTATCGGTACCTGACTAAGCTTAGTATGATAAAAGAAAGACTTAAATTTAACAATTACTAGTTTTCACTTAAAACTGGCAAGTAGATTTGCCGCGACTCTATTTACTACCAATTTCATATTTTTGTCATTAAAATTCTTTAAACAATAATTTACTCTTTCTTTTATTTTTTAAATTTCAATAAATATATGTATTTATTAAAATAATAAATAATAAACACACGAAAATATAAAATTTAAATTTATTAACACGTACCACAATTACTTTCATGTTAATTTACATAAAAATGCATATTTTCTAACATAAGTATTAATAAGATACTGAATACACGACATAAAAGATTTAACTGGATCTTTGATACATTGTACTAGGCTTTTCATAATATATAAGAGGTAACTTAAGGCACTTCGATTTCTTAAAACGATTTTCAGAAAATATGTTACAGTTTATGAGAATATATAAACACGTATACACGCAAAAAAGCCTTTAATATTAAAAGGCTGCTTTTTAATAATCAAATGTGTGACGTAGATACATTAAATATATTTAAATAAATTGAATTGACTTCATTATTTACTCTAATCTATCATTTTGCATTTTCAGATCAATAAGGAGTAATATTAAACTTAAAATAAGTGAGTTTGTTGCGACGCAAGTAATGTTAAATTAATTGCAAATAACATAATTATGATTTCCTTATACATCTAATCGTAAAGCTTGTGTGTACATTTAACTTTTAAATTAAACAACGATATAAGTATTCGGTCAAACAGGCAAACATATCAGTCTAAATTTTAGTGTTAAATAATTAAATTAAAATGACTGCTTTTACAAGATTTCTCGTCTATCGTTTGTAAGGCGCCTTGCGATACCTGCCCGTCTCCTCTTCATCACGCACATCCAAGTAGTGGCTGAACACAACTGCCCATAGATAAAGATATATACCTGAAAAAGAAAACTACTATAAAAAAATTGTATCTTATTTACATATCAAATATAGACCAAACATTTCGTAGCTATGTTAAATACAATTTTTTTAATCCAATTCTTTTATTTGACAAATTATCTTATATGTGGATATATATTATTATTATATATTATATATACATGGATTGCGCAGGAACGTGGAGAGACCTTCTTTTCCAATTTTCCGGATTCGATTCCGTTTAATATAGTAAGAACATAATATTTAGTTTAGGTCAGGTTATATTTAAATTAACAACGGATTACAAATTTAAAAAAATACGATACGGGCAGGACTTCAACCGGTATCCACAGCGTTCCGTGCTGTTGCTCTGACCAATTGAGTAACCGTGTCTTACACGACATCGTCGAATATTTTCAACCTATTGATACAAGCAACTCTTGTGCAGGTAATATTTATTTCGTTCCACTCATCTTACATATATTTTTTGCATAAATAAATACTTACAAAGATAGATAAGCCCTCCAATTAATATACACGTAGCAAGAATAGCATGATCATGTTCATCCAAGTAGTAGGTAATTGAGGTATGCAGAACGCTAATTAGAAGTCCAATAGCAAGCACGATACCCAATACTACCCAAGGCAACATTAGCCAGGAGCGTCTCTGAAATAATTGTTATACAGATGCAAATAGTGACATGATTGATATACTAATGTAAACCTATTAATTCCCACAGTTGGACAAGGGTCCCCCATCATGAAAGAGTTAGAGGTACTACGCTGCTTAAGTGAGGTACAGCAAGCTTACTACCGCCACTGAATGAGTGAAAGATAACTGGGGCTGATGGTGTAACGAGGGCTCCGATACGAGGATAAAAACACCTCGTACTCTGATATCTACTTCTGCTGCTATTAGAAGTTTCCAGATATCATAGTAACAATTACCATGACACGGTATTTGAACCTTGGACCTCATGATCTGCAGTCGAGTTTAGACCAACGAGGCATAAAATATGGTAACTAAATAAAAGTTCAATTTCGTGCAATCTAAATTATACATTACGTAACTAGAATCTTAATAAATACTAGCATGCAATAATAGTTCCCACTGTATCGTTCATGCTAAATCTCGATATCAAATTAGTCAGGCTCTGTGTTCAATTAACTCTCATAAACATATATCTTTAGTTTATGCCAGAGTAATGCAATACAGAGTGCGCTAAAGTTCACTATAAGCTGATTGATTGGAGGTAATATTTCTTCTCTCCTTCTAAACACTACGGTCTTGAAAAAATTGTAAGATGCAAATTTTCGGTAATGCATTTAAACATATTTCATATATATCTTTGTCTCTTTACAGTTCTCTTCAAACTTTTTGGCCGGGCTGAAGTTAGCGCGACCGCCATCTTGTGCGTTGTTCTGTAAATTTAAGTAAAAAGTCGAGTCCCCCAGCACCAGCGATCCCCCTTTGTCCGGCCAAAAAGTTTGGAGAGCACTGTAAATCATGCTACAATTCAATACATATTTACATTTACTGTTTTATATTTGTGATTAAAACAATAATAACGACTAAAAACAGATCTTTCCTTACATGCTCTACGTAATATAATTACTCTGTGCTAGTGCTAGTTTTAAGTGTACATATAAATTTCTTACCGAAAAAGACGTCTTGTCACCACACGAAACAGAGACAAAATATTAAATTAATTCAGGAAAATAAACTATGAGAATTTTCTATTTAGGAAAACTAGATATCAGATCGTATGTACTTAACTACTTCGTGTTACATTTTAAGTAGGCTTGCAAGGAGATGTATTTTCGGCAGTTTACCGAATACGGAATATTCAGTAAGCTCTTTAACCGAATATTCGGTCACATTTTAAACAGATGTCATTTCTTTAATCATCAAACTGCGCCCGTGTTTGCTCTGCGGCATTGACTTAAATGATTATAAAAGAAATTACACCTTATAATTTCAAATGTTGATTATGATGATAATTAAATATATAGATTTTATGGTTATGTATCTGCTTTATACCAATGATTACTTAAATTGCATATATATGTAATAATTCAATATATTCTTCATTTTATCAATTACCGAATCTCAATAACAAAAAAAGGTACCTAACTTAGTATTCGGTGTGTGGCCGAAAGTATGCAAATAAGTAACATAGTATGAAAGACGCCAAATAGGCAGAATACCGAACATTCTTTGCAAGTCAAATTTTAAGACATTTTTTGTTTTACAGTACATAAAATATTTACCTTTAAAATTGCAATGATGAGGAGCCCACAGATAAGTATAGTGAAGCAAAGATTCACTGTCAGTATAATTCTTGGAACTGAAACACATTAACAATAAAATGAATTGTTACTTGTATAATCTCATTCTACCAATAAACACTCAATTTTAAAATATTTGTCCAAATACTCAATAAAATTCCGGTGAATTCCGAGCTAGAATCGCCTCAAACTACATGACGAGATTTTAATTTCAGTGTCTATTACTACCACTGAGTTAGATTTTGTTTGCAGTAATACTAGCACTGAGAAATAAAATAAAAACTGATGATTTAAATAAAACACTTTAACGGTTTAAAACGCGATATATTAGTTGAACTTATTTGAAAATGATTTTTAACTTCGGCCCGATGTCTCCCCGTGACCACGGCTGCTGCAAAGTCCGAAACATCGGGCCGAAGTTAAAAATCATTTTAAAATAAGTTTAACTAATATATCGTGTTTTAAACCGTTAAAGTGTTTTATTTAAATGCGTACTACTCGCGTAAACTATAGACAGTAGTTAAAAATTGATGACGTCATAAGAAACTTACTGTCCATATCGGCAAGTTTTTTGTCGAAGTCCTCCGCGAATATGAAAGTCCTGTAGGAGACATTGTGTTTGTTCGCGACCCATATTGTGATGATTGTGGCTATAGACAAGATGATGCCCAAAGTCGCTGTGATGAGGGATCCAGTTCGCGTCGAAGCGCAGCAGCAACACTTCTGTAACCGCTTCATTTTTGTTTTAAATCCTTTTCAACAATCCTTGTACCTCTACTGTGCGCGCTTTTATCTTATCATGATAGCTGAAATACAAGAAAACATGGTTTTTAATATTTACCTGTAATTTCAACCACTTAAAATATTTTTATTTAAATTAAACGAACTTAGTGTTTCAAAAACAATATCAATAGTGTAAGATACTCATAGGTGTAAGTAACTCTCGAATCATCGTGCCATTTTTATATTTTTTAAATAGGGGTGGACCTATAGATAAGCGTGGAATTCACTTGATGCAAAGTGAAATACTTCAGCCACATTACATCAGAATTAGATTAGGAAATCCACAGACTTAATCGCTTTTCATCAGTGGACGTTGCCGTTGGTTCGTTACACTGATAGAATTTCAATAATCTAACAACCCATTCCATATGCAAAATTTCTAGACGAAGTCAAACATGTTTAGAAAAATTGTAAGTTGGTTAGAAATATGTTGGACCCGATAGATGACCCGTTGATTAGTAACCATACATTGAGACCACCAAGCCCGGTGTGACAAAACCGTAAATCTCATAGTTTCTGAATAATATTCAAATAAAAACAAGCAATAATTAATGTGTAGCTCTAATAATATCAAAATTAATAGGTTGTTTATCCGTTTTATACATAAATAGTAATTTTCTACTCATTATTCCAAATTAGATCAAATTCTACATTTAGATTTGAATATCTAGATCCTTTTTCTCATGACTATTTCAACTTTCTCTTGTTCAAATGTTTAATTAATTCGATGTTGCCATTAACTCTCACCTAAGCTACGTAAGTGAGTTTAATATGTTGTTTGCCATAGTCCATATGTTGCTTCCAAATAATTGTTATGATCAGTCTTTTAACAGTTGTAATGATCAGTCCTGTTGTACTCTTGTAACTGAGTAGACCTTAATCTACACGGCTGGTCAAAATTTATATTTGTAGATGACTTTTCGGTTGTCGACCTTTTGGTTTTTTAGACATGTATAAAATAATTATAACAAAGGCACATTTTGATGCACGACCGAGGACTTAACTTCTGCTTGCGTGTATTCTTAATGTCACGGCGATCCTTTACTTTTGGTTGTTTAAAGACTATTGGTTTACCGAGTTGCTTGGTTAATTAAAAATGATTGCTTAACCATTGAGGAAGTTACTCATTATTGTCAATAGTTAAAAGGCGGACCTATTTAATATGGAGTAATATTGATTGACGTCCAGAATCGATCGACTATTGACTAATAGCTCTAATTCTGGACTGGAATGTAACAAACCTATTGCCCTTAATACAAAATGGCGATTGCGAAATTATAATGTGTTTTCGATGCAAGGCGTATGGTGTACCTAGTTTTAGTAGGGCTGTGTTATTTATGATTTCTAACCTAAAAATAACATGAAAAACAATTGACAACACACTAATGCCTTAATGGAAACCTTATTTCAAGGTTTTTTAGACTTTTTTTAATAGGACTTATTCTTCTTATGACGATAAACTAAAATCACCAAGCAGATTTGCTATCTTAAAAAATGATCCATATTTAATTATTTTCTCTCCTATGGCTACATTAGAATTTAACAGCCCTATAAATTTCATATACCAAAGCGTTGATAATAGCGAATGCGTCAATTTTAATCTATTTTAAATCTCCAGGCCCCGTTTCATCAATCCATTACATCCACATGTTTGTGTAATAAAGGCGAAAGTATAAAAATATCTTGAAAACATCTATAATCACCTTAAATAGGTCAAACGTCGTTCGATTTGGGTCATTTTAGAAATATAATTTATACTGTCACTCATTAAAATGTGATTCTTTAAGTTAGTGGGAAATTTAAACATTTTGTCATTCCTATATTATTATTACCTCTATCCTAAATCATTTTTTGGGTTCAAAACTCAATTATATTTAAAAGTTTCCAACTGGAAAGATCTAATAAAATTTCTTCATCTTCATAAAATCAAGCAATGAAACGAACACCGAAATGTCTATTTTATACATAAGTATAAGGCATTTATATTTCTTCAGGTATAATATTATTAAGTATAATGAAGGTCCTTATTTTATTCTAATCAAATAATTGTGATACAATAGCGTCAATTTCTCCTAACCTTGACCTGAACATCTGGCCTATATTCTACTCCACAATAGAACTCTAATGTTACACCTTTATAGCTATCGTAGATACACCACACCCAAGCTTTTACAGCCCATTACGCTAACTCAAAGAATACTAAAGTATTGTTTTACGATACCGAAATTATCATAAAGAAATTGGTAAGTAATACATAAATAAGTATACGTAAATACATAGTTAGGGCGAAGGGTATTTTTAATTTGTTGACATATTATCATGAAATGCAAATTTTATTATGTATTTTCTGTATCCATACTACCTTTATAAGTTTAAACATTGGTGATCGAATAGTGTAAATTATATATTTATTTCATTTGCAGTCGTAATGTGATATGCAGATTAATTTAAAGATTAAATTTGTATTAGTTAATCATTGCACGGAGCTATTAATTCAGGCAGGACAATGTATACTCAGTCTTTGTTTCTTTGTTCATTGCGTAATCTCTGATGGCTGAGTAGGAAGTTGAGCATATAAATCTGAACTTATACTGTTCCATATTAAATGACAATCATACGAAAACCTTGTACCTATGTGCCATCAAAAATGTGACAAAATTCTTTTTGATGACATAATCTATAAATCTATAAGATGATAGTTGAATCTCCAAATAAAAAAAAACTTTTTGTTTTTGTTGCAATATTTACAATACTATTAAAATGTTCAGGATTTACATGATGTTATTTATTACAATAGTGAGTTTTGGTAAATTATTTTATCTCGGGTTATTTATTTTTGGCGTTGGCAACAGCTTAGTTTGTATAGAAGTTCTTTAACTCTTGGCGCAACATTGAAGGTTAGTACCTAATTTCCAAGAATCATAAACTCACTATGTCATTGCCATTTTAGAGATAAGATCCTCACGTTAACGGAATCGCGGAAGTCGAAATATTTTAATCCATGTCGAATCGATCATATAAAGAAAAAACCAAAAAAAGTTTAATTAGGCCTATCTGTCAAATTGATAAAATGTGAATTGTCATCTGTCACTCGGAAATACTTCAATCGTAGTTGTTTACTTAAAGCCAGAATATACTGAAATGTTAAGCGTTAACCAACACTTCAGTGTCGATATGTAGCAATGATTTCCATAAACGATAAAGTATTTTAAATATATCTTATTATCAAATAAATTTGTTTATACACCTTGTTCTGTCGGTGCAGGAACGGCAGGACGTTGGTTATAGATTTTTCAATCTAAAATACTTCTTTAGTGTATTCATGAACATGCCAATATAATAAAGACAACTATTCCTATTTATAATTCGGAGGTCGATTTAAATTCGCGTTAATGCGTTACGATGAAGGTCAACTTGACCGCGAGGTGACTCTGTTATCACACACTTACTTGCAATTTACGACTTGCATATAAAAGCTATAATAATATACATTGCTCTATTTTTTATTATCTAGAAACGTGTTTGAATATTGACGGAATTATTATAAAATACCATCTACTAAATTTGAAATATAAAATTTTACTTTAAAATATTGAAATTAAGAGGTACTCCCAACATGTTACATAATGGCAAAACGTTAAGAGTTAGCGCAAAATTAAGTATCAACTCTTTAATCCTATACATGGTCATAGACCTCGAAATTAACCCGTAACATTGATTACCAACCAAGGTTAACCACTGAAGTTGTTTATTACGTAATGAAATAAAAGCTGACACATTGTTACCGAGAACATGTCATACAACTACGACGCTAGCTTGTGGAAACAGTATTGTAAAATAATAGACAAAGTCATACAAGACATCCTTTTGTACTAGATTCTTCATGACTTAAAAGTGAGCAAAATATATTTTCATTGTATGCATTACGGTGACGGATTATTCTTTATGAAAATGTTCTCTCCACCTTTGATATCTTCTTCACGAAAATTGGAAGAAAAAAATCACTAGTTTAAACGAAAATCGCGTTATATATTGCTTATAAAAGTGGATCAAATTTTTAAATTTTACTAGACATATCATATAACATATATCTTTCGTAATATAGATATTATTGAAAGTTCCCTTAATTTAAAGCAGACCTTTACTACGATGATATCATACGTTACAGTAATAATATTGTGGTGTGTAATCCAATACGCAGTAAGTCTGAGTCACGGAGAATAAATTCATTGAGGTCCCAAGATGGAGGTTTCAGGGTAGATACGTATTTAATTCATGAATAAGTTTAACGCAAATAATTCAGCTAAGAATACATTGTAGTTATTAAATATTTAATTTGAAGATTTTGCGGTTAATTGTACATTGAAATTTCATTTAGTTAATAGGAACTAGTTAATGCTAAAAGTAATATAATTAATTATTATTAAAAATTAATATATTTTTTATGTGTAAAGTAAATTAATACAAAAAACATTTCACATGTCGCAACGGACAAGACCGATTAAAAAATTAAACACATAAATAAGTCATATTGAAGCAAAATTGCACATATTGTATATCCAAGTTATATAGAATTAGATTGTTTTTTAACAAACTGGATTTAAACCACAGTAAAAACCAAATATGGCGACACACTTTAAAATTAAAACAACAAATAAATATAAATCGTTTCTAGTATTATAAGGAAACCGCTTTTTATTGGAGTACCGGGTCGATGACCTATTGAAGATTTGGAGCGTTATCAGTTTTCACAATGCCTCTTTAATTTTACTCTCTAATAAGCGTAATGAATGCATCAATTAGAGAACAAACAGATAAAGGTCTGTAACTGGGTTAACTTTAAAATTTGATTCGTTAACCATTACTTCCTAATGAAACGTTTAATTAGTTCTTCAAAAGTTACTGTTTTACGTCATAAAAGTTTTATGTTGAATCTAAATTAGCCTATTTTACAAATCCTTAAAATTTGGCTTAAAAGCCTCGTTGCCAGATCATCAAATATTATTTAAAAATCAAAACTTTGTTGTCTATATTTATGACATAAATCAACAATTTTTTCCATATTTGAATTTGTAGTTGTGTTTGAAAAAGTAATCATAGTATTTTTTACTTTTCAATTCAACAGTAAACACTATTCCAGCCAGCTAAGTGCACGTTTATTGATGTTAGGGCGGCCTTATGTGGTAACTCCTTGTATGGTAAAGTAGGAAGGTATGAGACTACGTAGGCACACCGAGAATCCCACACTTCCACATTTGGTACTGTTAGATTGACCGAGGGAAATGGAAACTCTTTATTTTCAATAGAATTTGAACAAAATTTAAACATATTTAAATTTGAAATGTCTTCACGAAATTATCAATCTTTATGTACTCTTTCGCATACAATCGGTGGAAAGTATACTATATTATACTATACTTTTGGTTCTGAAAAGAAAATGTAATAAGTCTAGATATTTGAATTTGAACTAGAATTCGTTCTGGCGTAGGAACTCTTAAATTTACTTTTTATAAGTCCTAAACGTTTTAATTACAAAACCTAGTTGTAAGAATGTATTAAGATGTTATTAATTTGAATGTATTCAATTTTATGTTAACGGATGTTTTATAACAATAGTAAACGATTAAGATGAAAATAAACAATGGTATTAAAAACGTTCAACAATTCGTAAATTGGTTAACACTTAAGTCATTTAACGTAAACCCGTAGGCGATATCTCCCACGCTGATAGTTTTGATGATAGTATGGAATTCGAAACGCATGATAAAAGGGAGGCTTTCTTGACGATTTTGTTTATAAAAAAAATACTATAGACAGTTTAGTCATAGTAGTGTACTGTAAACATATTTGATGAATGTCATTTCGCTTATCACAAATCTACATCAAGGCCCGACGTTATATTTATAAATGCGCACGCGCAGTTTTAACGACGCTCATGTTTCCTCTATATTTCTTATCCACGCAATATAAACTTGGATCCCCCTTACAATACGACAATTAGGTACATAGATATAGTTATGTTTTTACTATAGACATATTGGTGACTGAAAAGTGTTATGAAAAACGCGGCAGCGTTTACTAAATACTCAAAAATAGCTCACGCCTCACTCAAGGCAAGGACGCAACCTACATCGTATTTATTCCGAAGCAAAATCAAGGTCCCGCAGTGACGTTATCCTATATTCTAAAGACTGATGACAAACTTGAAGATTAATTAAGACGTAGCGGTGGCATGTGTTCTTTGAAATAAGAATTAAAAATACCTCGATTTTCACCAGGAAAGCAGGCACTATTTAACACTGTATCACAAGGGTTCCTTAGTTCGTTCGCGTCTTAACACTAACAGCCCGTTTATTGCGCATCAAATACACGTGAATACCGTTCGCCGATGATCGTGTGTCTGAACTCCGAAAGCGCCTGACAATACTGTGTGGTCTTACTCGATAGTCAAAGAGTTGCCGTTTCGTTTTCTCTACATTCTTTATTATTGGAATTATTTTGTCTTAACTGAATTGTGGTAGGCCAAGGTTATTAAATCTGTTCTATTGTCAGTGACTTAAAGATATGTAACTATCGATTATCATTAGATGTCAATATTATGTCACAATACCAATAACATTGAAAGTTTACGCGGATACATGACATAGGCAGAATTCATTAGGAAGGGGAAACAACTTCATTAATGTTATTGAAGGTATATTTTCTACTTAATGTCAATATTAAAACAATTTTAAGTAAATATATAATACATTTAAGAATGTAGTATTGTGTTATGAATATGGCGTTGTCTCTTACGGTATATTTTACGCTCATTAACAAACTGACAAATATAGTGTACATGTAAAAATATAGAATAATATGTCATATGTATTAGATAAATATACAAAAATTTGTACAGTTATTAACAAATTAAGTGTAATAGATAAAATCTACAATATTTTATATTAAATGTTTTAAATTTTGATTGTAACTGATATATTTAAAACTGTGAAAAGGGAAGTAACTATTATGGCGATATGAAACCTTTTTACTCATTCATATTTTGCATCGTTTTCTATGTATCTATTAACGCCACATCTAACATTCTTTCAATATTGTAACTATGTCGAACTTTGTTTATTAAAACCTTCCAAAGGTTTTGTCTTACTATTTCAACTATAAAAAGCAAACTGTCAAATCTTAAAAACGTCACACGTTGTTTACAACGTTCAATCAAAATTTAAAATGAAAACAAAATAAACAAATAACTTTCATAATCACACAAAACTCACAAGATGAACATTCTATCTTATATCGGAATTAATCTACAGTCCGAAGTATGCATCTGGACGCTTCTGGGACTCATTCGGACGATCTTTGACGCCACGCTGTTCAAAGTTAATGCTAATCTTAAACAGGTGCATATTACTCAAGCGATGAATGACTTTACCCAAATAGAGTACTGAAATCTGAGGTTTAGCCACTTTTATACAATAACACTATTGGATGAATCTTGGGAAAGCATAATTCATCTATACTAATATTATAAAGCTGAAAAGTGTGTTTGTTTGAACACGCTAAACTTAGGAACTACTAATTCGGATTGATAAATTCTTTTTATGTGGTTAGATCACTTATCAAGAGAGAACTGTGGACGACGGGAAAAATTATTCATTTTTGAGTGTTCCCTTGCGTATGTCTACGAAACAAAAAAAAAATTTTGTATGACAGAATGATTGTTCTTTAAATTTCCAAAAAAAAAATGTCAGAATATGTCTGTCTTTGATGATGTGATATAACTTGCGAGAACGACGGGACGTGAGCGACGTCGTAGATAACAGTTAAAATTTATAAAAATAAGTAGGAGGTTTGCAAAAACATATTTTGCTGCCAATATAACTTTCCCATGCAGATGAAGTATAGCATTGTTAGCCGTTAATATAATTATATAATTAGTAAGATTTGGCAGGGCACTGAAATTTGATTGAATAAATAAAATTGATCAGCGAAGTAGACACGTGTAGTACGTGCGTATGTGTTTTGGCCCTAACCTACTGAATTTTGTTTGAAAATTGTTTCTAAGGCTGATACTAATAAAATTTATCTCAGGTATGGCAAATGACGATGCCTCCAGAGCTGTCTTTACCGATACAACGTGTGTTGCGCACGATTATTTCTGGGGTGATGCTCGTACAATGTTTCACAGTTTATGTTTACCTCGCCTCGTACATCGTTCTACTATATCCAGTATTCTTGGTGTGTATCTTCTTTTTAATTGTAATAACGAAATATATAATTGACTCTATACTTTGACGCATTCCACTCCTCCTTTTTCACCAACCGATCTTCACCGTTTCATCTTAGAGGATCTCGTTCATAAAATTCCTTGCTTTCATTTTTATTAATATTTGTCTGAGTCCGCACTAAAGTTGAAGCATGTTTTTTCGTAACCCTTAAGTACCGACGTGTGATCTAATAACCTAAGGCAGTCGCCTAGATATTATACTCACTTTGACATTAGGAAATATTGTCCTGTATGTAATCATGCGGTTGATTAGTGAGTAGTTGTAAAAACGCTTTGAAATTCCGACGCGGTCTTTCAGGCCGCGGTCAGTACTTAACATCAGTTGATAAATCTACTCAATAAATAAATGTATACAAGTTTTTACATTATTTTTTCCCTTAAAACGGTCGAGTGAAGAACCTATACGACTAACTATAGGTATTTAAATAAAACACTTTAACGGTTTAAAACGCGATATATTATATTTATTATTTGCAGCAGCCGTGGTCACGGGTATATTACGGCTATTTAAATGTGTACTACTCGCGTAAACTATAGACAGTGTTTAACTATAGGTAACTTAAATGCTGAATCACAAAAAGTTTTTCCTTTTGTTAAGATGCATTAGTTTCGTAATGCAGTTATAATTACTAAATCAACTCGATAGCATTCGAATGAGTCAGTTTTCCTCCACACTTTTAAATCGATCGAATGGGTCAGAAATGTTTGAATGACTAATTTGTTGATAATAAGGGTTAATGACTTAGCTTAGCTAACATTATTTTTCGTATCTTGAGATGTTTTAGAACTGTATATGTTTTTATAGGCCGCCTAGAGGCCGCTAGAGGCTTATTTATTTTTTTATAGTCTAAAAATGTTAATCTACAAGAGTACAGTGACCGAAAATTGTTACCATAATTCTTACACTAATAATAGTACGAATTCATTTTGGCCTAAGTTAATTGCGCATTTTATTTTCCTTCTTATATCCTTTTGTTATTAGGCCACTCTGCCTCTAATAGCCTCATTTTATATATAATTAATAGTAATTCCTATAGGAAGAACGCCCTACGCTGGTTCTACCATGGTTGTTACTGGCTGCAGTAAGAAAGTTATTATGTGAGCTTACTAGTCTAGCTTTGGGATTGGGTACGTGTGTATTGCTCGGGCCTGGCCGACCACCGTGTATAAGATTTCTCATTTTGAAGATACTTACAATAATGCCTGCGTTTTACATGTGGACGCTAGTTTTTGGGTAATATTTTGTACATTCATCTTACGCTGTAAGTTTTTAATGTCTGCTAATGTTCAAAAAAATTGCACAAAAGGCACCTTGATGATGTTCGTTTTGTAAGCTTATACAAATTGAAAGAGTATTCGAGAAACTTTAATAAATTTCACCTCAATGCATCGAGAAAAGCCACAGTATGCTGTCGGGTCTGAATATTAATGGTCCCTGTCTTACCAACTTTCAATTAATTTTAATTAATACACTGATACCAAAACTCTTTCTCTTCTAATAAGTATTGATCAATGTTATTTTAAAATCTTATTTTAGGTATTATCATAACTTAAAAATGGCTGCAGCGTTTAAATCATTTCCTACCAATTTAGTCGCTGGCAATGATAACGACTGTGGTCTTGAGTTAGCTATTCGCAGGCGTCGCACAAAGTCATTGCAAGGAGAAGATCAGTTGCGGAAAAAGCTTATAGCAAACTTGTTAGTAGCTATATAATAAAGCATGTTTACAAAATAAATTCGCTATTAATGGCACTCTCAATAATATTCTTCTTTACAGCGACAGACCTTTATCGACAGTGAGTTCGAACTACCGAAAAATAGAACAATGTGAACAGAAATTGACATCGTTGAGCTCTGAAGAAATTAACATTCCAGATATATTACAACCTCTATCGGTTACATCTAATAGAACTCTGTCAGACCTAATCAGATACGGCACATATGAAGACTGGTTTGGTAGTGAAGTTGTTGTCCCTAGAGACACAGATCGTATTCTAGAACAATTTGTAATAATGCTACTACGTATTGGTGTATATTTGAGTAAGGAAAACGGCGATACGACAAAATTGTTTAACTCAAGTTCAATGCCACTATTGTCAAGTCAGAGTATTCAGTGTAATCCACTATCACAAGACAATGCTGATACTCCACCATTGGTTGGTAGCAGTCAAGGTAGAATAGCTTCTTACCTACGTGACTATCCAAAAATTTTCATGAAGAAGCCGTCCGATGTTCTGACGCGGTTGCGCTCTGATGCTCATCTTGAATGTGACGAAGATAATGAGCAGAATCGCCTATTGGAATCAGGGAGCAATAATTCAATTAAATCTACTAAGGACATTTCTCTAGGAACAAAAGAAGTCAGTAGAAATAGTGATGAACGATTCGGAACAAGGTCCAGTAGTGAAATAATCAAAGAGTTCAAAGAAGATTATATTCAATTGCGAACTAAACGATCTAAACTTGAACAAAAGACCGACAGTGTTGGAAAAACAAATGCAAGTGATAAAGACAACAACATTCAATCTCAGATTTCTAATGACAGTATTCCTTCAAAAAATTCTAATAATGAGCCGATCGCTCGTCAATCAAAAAAATTGAAACGGAAAGATAGAAAGAAGAAATAAACATAGATCGTCTTTATTTTGACTTAAAAACGTCGAAATATGTGGAAAAAGTAGAGGAAGAATTAAAACAACACTATTAAACATTATTAGATTTTTTATTATTTGTTAAATACATCATACTGTCAATATTGGCATACAGTATTAGCAATCGCTGTAACGGGATCCAAAAACATGACTCTGTAATTATATTCATCGGGATTGTTCAAATTAAATTGATACATAGGTAATCTATTCGATATGATCCATCCGACTTGTGGTATTTCGTGATCCAAACGTAAGTCGTTAGGAAATACTAGTGTCTTATTATTTTTAGCCACTATTCCTAAATTTTCGACCTTATACTCCTTACGTGTGTCCCAACATCCGATACTGTCTTGCAAAACAAGGTTAAAGAACATGATACCGTTGCGGTCAACAGCTGCGGCGGATACTTGTCCTATCGGTCCACGGCTTTCACCGAGAAGCTTAAATTCATCTGTTGAATTGTTAACTCGTGCTGGATCACGAATAACCGAGGTAGAAACGACAAATTCGAACGAACTTGACATAGCATGATAGTATAACGGACGGTCTCCTAAATGGTAGTTACCTAGAGACATCCCGAACAAACCGTCAGTCCATTGAAAGTTAACACCATGTAATGTGTAATTTGAGAGCAAAGGCTCCGGGTAAAAGGTATAGTGGCTAAATCTCCAGAAGGCGGCATCAGCCACTCTGAACACAGTTAAACCGAAGCGTCTAACATCTGATATGTAAACATGCAAATCTTTGCATTGTGGATCCCTGGAGTCCAAAATTATGTTTGTTATCAATGAATCTTGCAGGACGAACTGTTCGGGTATCTGAAATCTCCCCACAACTTTATCGGTTTCCAAATTAATGGCTATTAAGGTAGGCGGGCAAATCTGGCGCGGAGTTTCAAATGCCTCAACTTGACCAGAGTCTAAAACCCACATAACTCCACAGTGATCTATCGCCATTCTAAAAACTGATGTTATACCGGTGCAGTTGTCTGAAAATAAAGAATAAAACATATTATAAGTACGATATTTTTTATCTAATATTTCAGACCATACACCAGGTCCGGGTCTAGGTCAAATTCCCCATAATGAGACAGGTTTTTTATGATAAAGGAGGAGATACAAGCATAGGATTCACTTCATAGAAGGTGAAATAGCCCAGCAACATCTCATCAAGATGTCCGCTGATCTTTTTGGCTTTGGAAATCCATATATATCCATATATGCCGCAGCCGCCGATTAAACTTGACGGTTTTTTATTAGTGGACGATGGTTCATAACTCGGACTGTATTTCATTATTGCTACCACCTATTTAATATGAAATTATTTACCAGCAGTGTGCCAGTCCCAACTGGGATAAGGAGTTAAGGGCGGGGACGCTTCTTCTGCTACTATAGGTAAGCAAGACAGTGAGGCTGGAATTCCTTTCTTCCATCTCGGTGTGCTCACAAATACGCGACTCTTCCATCGTTCCACGCCCAATGGAATGACGTTAGCTTGAACGTATTGTCTGCATGTAAAATTCATTAAATTATAACCGATAACAATAACTGGAAATAACGCGTTACACATGACCAGGTTTATAACATATTCTTTATATAAACAATTTCCACACTTAACTGTATTTATCGCCACGCCTCGTTATAATTAGGAATTGTTTTCTACATCGATAAATAAAATCGACTCACTAATATAAGCGCCAGAGTGGAACATAATTTAATTGATTTTAGGTGCATAAGTTGAAAAAAATGGACGATGATCTAGGACACGTCCCTGCCCCTGTAAAAACGTTTGAATCTAAAATCTTTTTTTTAGTCCTCGTCCTCAGTTAAAAAGCTAGTTACGAAGTAAGCTACTGTTTATTGTAGAAGAACCTTGGGAGGGTATATAAAGTAACAAAAGATTACTTCTACTCGTACATCGACTTGACGGTCTAGTTCTCTCAAACTTACTTGGTGACATTTAATACAGCGTATCTTGTTGTATTTGATTTTGTGCTTGCAGACTACATTGCTCTTATAAAGTAACAGGCTAAAATCATTGTATCAAAGTCAGTTATAACATGTTGTGTGTATCTGCATTTTTTTTAAATTACTGTACCCCATTTATCCTACAAAGTTGAAAAACTTGAAAGTTGACCTTGAAATCAAACAAGATCGAAAGAAATGAAATGTATACCTTAGTATATTTGCGAAGAAATATAGTAATTAGAAACCTAGTAATTAGGCAAACAGAACTTAATTTATACTAAGTAAATTCTGGTAATTTAAAGTTTTCCCAGGGACGCAACTTGCGACGATAGAATACTTAGTAAAAAAGAGAGGTATGTATGTCGCTGTCAAAAGCCAAGAATTTTGTACAGTTAACGATAGGGAAAAAATCTTGAAACTTATTTAAAACGAATAGATGTTTAAGGAAATATTTCAAGATAATATAAAGCAGAAGATTAACATATTTTTACCGCCTTCATGTCGCAATGGTAAATCGCGTTGCCTAGTATTCTGCTAAGAGCGAGAGATTCAGGGTTCGAGTCCTAGGAAATAATAAATATAGTTGGGCAGGAATATATTCGACTCGAATATGTGACTAATAAAAAGAGATCAGTGAAACAGACAAAAGATTTGTCTACCCCAAACTCCACAAGGTTTTTACAAAATTAATATTTCAAATTTATTTTTAAATCGGTCTATAATTTTGTAAAGATATAAATTTAAATATTGTCTGTAGTTAACGCGAGTAGTACACTTTAAAATAAAACACTTTAACAGTTTAAAACCCGATATATTATATTAGTTAAAATTGTTAGAAAATTATTTTAACTATGGCTCGACGTTTCGGATGCTTTGAAGCAGCCGTGACCACGTTTTATTTAAAATAAATAAATTTTACAAACCCATTATTGACGGCAATTTCTCGTTCTTCTGGAGACGGGAACACAAAATCCATTTGCTTCCATCTGTACAATGTTCCTATAGGTTTTTGCGGGACAGATGATACATTGCTGTTCGCAATTATTCCTGCCAAGATTATGGCTAAGGCATTTAGCTGTAGATGAAGAAAAATAAACTTTAAACAATGTAATTAATTTTTTTGTCTGTTTTCTAAATTAAAAATGTATTTTAGATGAAAAAATCGACGTCACGTGCGGGATTTGAGCAGTCGGGTCTACGTGCGGTAGCTCTAATAAAAAAAAAACCTAACCTAACGTGCCCTAAGAGATAAACTGATTTTTTCATACAGTCTTATACCATTTTCTACAGTTTGAAGTTTAAAGAAAATCTTTATAAAAGATTTAAATTCGCATTTATAGTATATATTTAATAAGAACGTTGAATTTAACCTTCTAGATAATATTAATATTATATAGAAATACATTCTATCAAACGTTGGCCATGTAAATAGGAGCAGTTCTGACCTCGTTTCCGAATCGTTTCTCAGATAAAACGCAAATGTGCTGGAATAACATAGCACTTACCTGTTACTTACCATCCTTTTAATCACATAAATGTCACTTGGTAATATTACACAACTTTTACATAGGCCTACTACTCATCTTTAAAGTAGTACACATTTAAATAAAACACTTTAACGGTTTAAAACGCGATATAACGGGGAGTCTCTACTTTGCCGTAACACGGCTGCTGCAAAGCACCGAAACGTCGGGCCAATATAAAATTTTTCAAATAAGTTTAACTAATATATCGCGTTTTAAACCGTTAAAGTGTTTTATTTAAATACTACAGTTCTCTTTGCCGTAAAATATGAATGTAACTTATAATACTGTTCATTATACCTAATAAGAAAAATCGTTTAATATATTTTTTTTAAATAAACACTTTCATTACAAAGTAGGTAAGTAACTTTATGCACAGTCTTAGTGAATTTAGCAAAGCATATAATAACATAAATTTCAGATTAGCTTGATAAAAAAGTTGCTTGATACATAATATAGGTATCTTAAGCCAAATTCAAATTTTAAATGTACCATAATTTTCGATTAGCAATAAATATCATCTCTGTTCTTTATATTACATTTTTAATTAACCTTTAAAATTTTTGAACTTGACACTAATAGTAAATTTGTTGAATAAGTAAATATTAACTTGATTAGTTGTTGTAAACAAAGCTTACTAAAGCTTACCTTCATAATGCCTTATTTACGCTGAATTGACGACTGTATCGCTGCCAATATTAAGAAGTTCTGCTGACTACGCCCCGGTAAAAATTAATGAGCGGCATATTGCGTAAATAAATTATGCATGTTTGTGGTTTGGCGCCTTTTCAACCAGAACAACTCGAATTCCATATATTAAAATTTAAAACAAAGTGCTCGATAATAATTACTTGCCGTGGAGTATTCGGTAAGGCGTGTTATACTGACTGTTATATAATGATAAAGATAGACATATACTATCATGGACAGTTTTTTAGTTCATTTAAAGAAGCATTATTCTGTCATATATATTATCTCGGGTATCTTTAACCGTCTTCGCAGCGTACGCAACAGAAACCCATAAGAATGAAATAATTTTCCCCTTTTTTTTATTCCACATTTCTCCGATCCTATTAGTCACAACTCGATGTTATATAGCCTTCCTCAATAAATGCTCTAACCCACACGCTTTTTTTTATTCGAACCAGTAGTTCCTGCGATAAGTGCGTTCAAACAAACAAACTCTTCAGCTTTATATATTAGTGTAGATATTGTTAATTCCAAAGGTTTTCAGCTGCGAAAACGTGTTTTATTGCCTTTGTTTTATATTAAGAGTTTAAGGTGAAATAATTACTTTATAAAAATATAAACCAATTATTTAATTCTAATTTATTATTCATTATAACTACATCCGGTTGCGCCTTATTAAATTTCATAGCATTTTCGTTTCAGCGCGGATGCTGTAATGAGTTACTTAAAAAAAAACAAATGATTGTTACTTGTAGTTTAAATTTTAACAACTAAATAACAGGTAAGAACTTTTAAATTTTATTACAATAAATGGCTTTACAACAATGGCCTTGAGTGTAAGCCCTGACCTGTGGTAAGGTTAGGGTCGCAGATTGTCCCTCGAACAGCATCGATCGCATCCGCGTACAAGATTCTATAGTTATAATTATCCAAATCCAATGGGGCGTTCTGAAACATCGGTAACTTATTCGATATAACCCATACGTTCTGACGTTCCTCCTGATCAATTTTCACATCATTGGGAAATACCAGTGTCTCCGCGTTCATTGCTATTACACCAGTAGTACTCATTTGGTATGGCTTCTTAGTGTCCCAGCATCCTACAGTGTCTCGTGTTACTAATCCATAAAACATCACACCACGCCTGTCTATTGCTGACGCTGAAGATTGTCCAGATAACCCTCTACTCTCCCCCACCAAATTAAACTCTGTAGCACTATTGTTTACACGGAATGGATCACGAAGGACCGACGTCCTCACATAAAATTCTCTATAACTGGACATAGAGTGGAAAAATAATATCCTCTCGTTGTTATAATAGTCTGATGGTGTCAGTGCTAGACCAAATATGCCGTCAGACCACTGAAAGTTGAGGCCATGGAGGGTGAAGTTAGATGCTAATGGATCGGGATAAAAGAGGTGGTGGGAAAATCGCCAGAATTCTTTATCACTGTCCCGGAATACTAGAAGACCGAATCTCCATGTGTCACTTATGTAGGCGTACAGATCTGAACAATCTGACGCGCTTGAATCGACTATTATGTTAGAGAATAAGGAATCTTGTAGCACATACTTTTTAGGTATGTAATGGCGTGCTATTAAAGCGTCCGTACGTAGATCGAACACCATTATACTTGGTGGGCAGATTTGCTTGGGGCTGTCCGTTGAGTCTATTTGTCCCGAATCCAGAACCCATAATCTTCCACATTGGTCAATGTTCACCCGAAACACTGATGTCATTCCTAAGCATTTGTTTGGTTCATCTGTAATATAACAAACAAATTTAATATTAGGTAAGTAATTTAATATTTAGGTGAGTATTCTTCATCAATTTTACTTACTGTAAGCTCTATGATAACTCCAATCAGGATATGGCACAAGAAGGGGGGAGGCTATGCCCCCCGTTCGAGAGACCGTCGCCAATGTGGCCGGGACACCTTCCTTCCAATTAGGCAGCGTCACCCATACGCGGGAACCCCAGATTTCCAAACCCAGTGGTAGTACGTTTTCAGGCACATATTTTCTGAAAAATACAATAATTAATAATTAGCATTACAATATAAAATGTCTCGATCTAGATAACGGTTATGTTACCATGCACAGTTATATACACTTGTACAAAGTGAACTACTACTACTAGTCGCGCTTATCGCAATGCAATAACACAGTTAACCATTTAGCTTTCGTAGCGGTCGAAAACCAAACCAAAGCAAAGTTTATTACTTAAATAAAAATACAGACACAATTATCATTGTCTTCACTAACCGTGAAATTATCGCATCTTGTCTATGGGATTCTGATGGAAATTCGAAATCCATATATTTCCATTTGTATAGAGTGCTGAATGGTGGAGTTTCCAAATCTGCAGGGATAGACTGTGTGCTTGCCAATCCTAGCATAGCAAGCCATAGAGTTACGCCACTGTAGCGACTTTTCTCTGGAATCACGAAAAAAAAATATGCAACCGCTGTCTTCACAAGCGCTATTTGCAACAAGGCAATACCTCTTAAAAACATTTAGATGGTCTGAAAATTACGACACGTGTTAAGCAACGAAGATGCTACTATAAATAAAAAAAGAACGGTTTTATTCGCCGTATTATAACGGCGACCTTTAGTAAATAATAAAAGAACAATGAAATGTTTAAAAATATCGTGCGGCTATCGTAATTAGTATAGTATCGTGGAATTAAATTGGTAGAAGTGTGTACTGTATTCAAAATATGCGCCCGAGTATGTTTTGGTATATTTTATAAATGTCACGTAAGACATTGGAAGTTAAAATTAGATTTAAAAAACAGTTGACACACTTGGGTCTCAAACCCAGCAACGATGCGCAAGGTCGTAGATGGTTTTGTATCATAATTAATTTTAACTAATAGAAGAGATTGTCTTTATTTATTAAGTTTTTTTTTCAAATAAGTCGAACTGTTTGTTGATTTACGGTATCCGGAGTTTGCATTTTAAAATGCTAACTGTTAGAGAAAGTAAATATAACAGCTGTTTAAAACGGTAGGCTTTGCAACGTTTTTAATTGATACGCTTCATTTAACATTAAAACAATGATCTTCGTTAGCCCTAGCTGTATTCTTTTAAATTATCTACTGGATAACTGATTTTTTTAAAACATTTTGACAATTGACATATCGAAGAAGTTTTTATTCCTATCTTTAATAATTATCGCTTAGTCTAAACTTTAAATGAATTATGAATATTATTTGTTTACAAATTAAATATTATAGTATATATTTTATTAAAGCGATAGTCTGCGATGTATAATATATATTAGAAGCAGTCCAACGAAAACACTTTGTTGCCATGGAAATCATGCTTTAAATAAGTTAGCTTCTTGTCCTGTACGTATTCCTTAACCGCGAAGAATACTATTTATTTTATGTTTTTTTTTATTGTATGATCTGGTAGCAACACAAGCCAATCAATTTTATTTTGCATAGGCGTATCAGTGTTGACATAAGTAACAGAAATTATGAATAAATTAAGAGTAATACTGTTGGATAATCTGTGGTCTTTAAAGGAATTTCCGTATCCACTAGAGAAGGTTTACTTTAGTTTACTTTCACTATTGCCGTATAAGATGAAGTAGTATTCTTATCACATAAGTTCTTTTATGTAATACAAACAGCTTATAATAAAATAGTATAATACCATTTGTATCAAATCCCGGGTCCGTTTCTAGTGGTGGTAGATTTTTTAATGGCGATAGACTTTTAACATCGTATCTTACTTATGTAGTTTCAAAGCTATCCTTGAAACTAACGTTCAATTCGATTTCTCTCAGCGGTTTTTGCGTGATACCTTAACAAACAAACAAACTGTATTTCAATAATGATTTAGAAGTTACGAATAACGATGGTATTGTTATTGCGATAAATAGTGAAACCAAGTTTCCATTTTGTGGGAATGAAGTGGACACATTTCTGTGTCCGTATCTCTGAAAGGTTTTATGCACGGGATATTATTAATTAGTCAACTACACTCTTCGACTAAAACTATTACGAGTATGTATAGATTTCAGGACTATTCTTGCTCCTCCCAATCCTAAGTAACGCGTCCAACCATTTTCACATTATCGTCGTTATTATTTCTTTCAACGTAACTATTTAATGAATATAATAATTGCTTAAAAATATTAATATCGGTTTAGATAAATGAACGTTACCACTACTTTCGATAAAAGGACTGGAGAAAGCTATGGTGTACCATATAATCGTACAATATACCTCTTACTAAAGCACTTTTAACCGCTTTCGTGTTTCAATACTTTAAAGCACTTCTTTTAAATGCGAGAGCTTCTAAGTTTGTAATCCGGGGGAAATAATAAATAGATTTCGTCACAGTCATAGTGGGAACACTATTTACTGAACAGTCAACCAGGCTACAGTACAGTTCAGGACATAGTGAATCAGACATATTATTACGTCTCCACTTTTATTTAAAGCTCTTTTATTAAAGGAATATATTGTAACTCCTTAATTAGATGTACAAAATGGAATTAAATAAAAAAAAACATTTAAATAAAACACTGGTCACGGGGAGACCACGGCTGCTGCAAAGCATCCGAAACGTCGGGCCGAAGTTAAAAATCATTTTCAAATAAGTTTAACTAATATATCGCGTTTTAAACCGTTAAAGTGTTTTACTTAAACGCGTAAACTATAGACAGTATCAAAAAAAACATCAGAAATTATTTTGAAACGGCCAAACCAACCTTGTCTTCTGTTCTTCTTCAATACATTTTGATAATCATTCCTCTGGTAGTCGTAATTCTTGTAATACTCACTGTTCCGATAATATTTCGGTATAACATTTTGCGTATGTACATCGCGATTGTACAAATATTGATTAACATTTTTATACTGTGCGTTGATATCAGTGAACACTAAAGAAGGCGAAGACCACTGTATGAACCACTGGTGCGATAATGCCATTTTTCACTAACACATTAGATATCGCTGGAAGCGGCTCCAAAGAACCAGTTACTATGAAAGCTATCACCGTTCTAAGTTATCTTGAATCGAAGTAGTGGCCAAAGCAGAAGGCTGAGGTCTTTCCAAATACAATCCCGTCTAGGTTCTTTCAAATGTGTGTGTACGTAATATGTGAATTAACTATTGATTAATGTATTGTTGTTCGCGACAAACATTTTTATTGGTAAAATAAGCAAGGCGGAGGATGGCGAATTTAAAGTTATTACATTTTGAATATATTCTTATGACAATTGTATGCTTCAAATAACTACTAAAGGGTTAAAGTTATTTATTTTTTTGGGTAGCAAGGATTTTATTTGAAATCAAAATAGAATCACTATAGAAAGAGTCAGCTTCATATTGTGTGCATTCCTATGTATGTACACAATATGAAGCTGACTCTTTGTTTGTTTTATGTGTATAACAGAGGAGAGTAAAATTCAAATTTAAAAATCAATTTTAGACTGACAAAAAATTACGACACTGGTGGTATTTGAACCGGCATCGACAGCGTTCCGTGCTGTTGCAAATTACATTATAGTAATTAACAAATATATATATCTCATGAAACTAAGTAGATACAGAAATTAATTACTGTTTTGATAATAAATGTTGTTATACAAAATAATAATTCGATAACATATCTCTATAATTGTTTTTTTATTCAGATAAAGTAATAGAATGATTGTGTTTTGAGATAGATCTGGAGTACGATTTAGAAACGTAATCATGAACCATAACAAATAAAGATTGATCTAATGCTTTATTGAGTACGAAATCTCACTGTAATCTAGGCTAATGTTTTAGTTAACCGTTTAATATAACAGTAGGCCTTAAAAAGATAAAAACTTCTTTCATTTTACCACATTCTTAACATAAGATATGAGTTTAAGTCTTAATTTTTGAGTTTCGTCTTATTACTAAGAAATGACAAGAAATACGTGTTAAAATAAAAAAAGACCGCCCTCCTATTCGTAGCTCGAGGCGGACACATCTTTAATTCGTTAAACTGATTATGTTATATTTATAGACAAGGCTTTTGCAACTATTGCTTCACTTGTTTTTCCTTTTGGAGAAATTAATTTATCAATCCCCACGCAGGGTCAGTTTGTATGACCTGATGCGGGACTCAGCTGCAACCACTACCCACAAAAACTTCAGGAGCACTTCCACATAGCATATGACACGTTAAACGGCAAACCCTTGTGTACGGGTCGACCTACCAACTATTGCCTTCCTTGAATTCGAACGTAGGACCTTTCGCGTTTAATCCAATGCGTTGTTTAACCAGGGAGATGGTTTCGTAACAGTTGATGTATAATAATTATCTGAACGATTAAAGGCCGTTGTATTATTTATTACGCCATGCAATTTTTAGGCCACGTGCTTTTAGTGTTGTGTAAATTGATTGTACATATTATAGTTATACAGATTTTATCGTAAGTCTTAATTGGTCTGACGTGCGATATCGGCTATACCCAATCAGTTACCTGAGCCTTTGCGTAGTTTTTACTAAACGCAATATCACTTTACCCTCTAGAAGTCTACTAAACTAATATGTTTGGAGAATATATAGTTTTGTTAATAGTGACAAGTGTAAGTCACGGCATATATCCGTATTTCGATACACAGGATTTTATTTACAACGTCCCAAAGGTGTATAGGGTATCTATAACGTTGGACAAGTTGCTTGATTATTACGAAAAGAAGCCATCGAAGGATCCAGAATGGTATATTGCCATGGGCGTAGCGAGGGGTAACTCTAAATTTATATATAATTAAATAGACAGATGTATAATAATAAAAATATATTTATTTACAAGTACAACAATAATCTTATAATTGTATTCCTAGACAGTACAAAACGAATTAAAAACAGTAAGATCGATGCTTTTGTCAAATCTGTACAATTTTACATTCACCCCCTCGGTATCACGGATTCAAAAAAATCTAAGTAGGTACAAGAATAATATGTAGAAATATTGCATACACATTCTTTATATATTAATTTGTTAAGACGCATTAATGTATTTTAAATAATAAAAAAATATACAAAACATTATGGTTGTGCTGTTTTTACTGAGTTTTTCTTTCTAGAATACTAACAAAGCATTAATAATATTATTTGATAATAAGTATTCAATTATTAGTATTATTATAGTATTATTCAATTATTATATTAACTTTAGTTATTAAGTATTTACCGTACATATGTATATGTTATCTAGACATATTTAAATATCACTTAGACACATGTATATTCTCAATGTTGCTATAATATTCTAGACTGCGAGATAAATGTCTATATTATATAAAAGTGAAAATGTGTTGATTCGCAGCACATTCAACGCCTTATATAATTTTACTTGGATCATTTAGGTCAATTGGAATATACGATAAATGAATTGGATAAGTCAGTGCCGCTTAAGTTAAAGGAAAACTTAAAGAATATCACTAGAAAAATGGATCGTATTCGAAACCAAACTGATTTTGTTGGCCTCGTGTACAGAAGCAAGGATTATGAATATGGTTAGTATAAACTATAAATTTAATTGATTTATGGCTCTCTCGCGTAGGTACTTAAAATGGCTACGAGAAATATGAGATCACAAAATGATTATGTAAATATGTACTGTCTGTAGTTTACGCGATTAATACCCACACATTAAAAAAACATGTTTAGTGATTTAAAACGAAATGTATTGGTTAAACATATTTTTTATTACATTTCGCGTTTTGTAAATATGCCATCTAACACTATTAGATTTATAACATACGTGCAGATTGACTATATCACACATCTCAACACTATTTGTAAAATTATGTACAAATAAACCTGTTGCAATCCATGTTGACTTATAATTTAACGAACCGTGTCTTGTTACTGTAGAGTTGTTACGAATCGTTAAAAACATCTAATTTTGTATGACTTTACAAATCTCGTGTGTATCTTTTTCCGTCATCACTTCACGCGATTTAATCAACGACCCGAAAAAGCCTGTAACAGTTGCCACACTAAAATGTCTACATACTGAATGCAATGCAAATTGTTAATGTGTAACAGTAATTATATAATACTAGGTTGGTCGCACTTCATGAAAGCTGAAATAATAAAAAAAATTCACGAGCTGGAATTTGAAAATTTCGAAATTTAAAAATAATTAGTCAAACAGCTTTAAAATAAGAATTGATTTGAATGAATTTAGATACTTCCATTCTTTTGTTTTATAATAGAGGATACGGATAAACGTGGGCTTGCAGGTAGGTGAGATATACCATCCTGAAACTGAAACACGATTAAACTTGATGGCTTTATCTGTGCACAGTGATTCGCGACCCGGACGGAATTTCGATATCACTATCGCTCATTTAATATCCAGATTTCCAGACGAGGTCCAATATATATTTCAAAAATGTTATACATTGATTAGAGAAATGCTGGATCCGGTGGGGATCGAAATCAGGACCCGTTGATTATAAGCCATACATCGCTATAATTACACCAACGCGTGCGTATATAGAAACAAATCTAGAGATGTTTTAAGATATTATATTCATTATTCCATTGTACAATGTCCTTTATATACCCACCTTGTTTCATTACAAACTCATTGTTAAAGCAATCAAGTACACTGACAGCCGCAAATATAAAAAGTGCCGTAGATTGGCCACACCTACTGAACAAATTGACGAGATAAATGAGTTCATATCGTTATTAAAAAGACATAGTCTAGCAACTCACTAGATCAAGGACCACTTTCCAAATTCTATTGTATTTGTATTCCTAAGTATGCCTAACGCGATCTTATGTAAGAAATATTCGATTGCGCACGATTAGACAAAACACTTGGAGGTTCGTGACTTGCAGTATTCGGATCATGTCAAATTATATGTTATACAATAAAGTGCAAATAAATTTAACATAACAGACCTAAGTTAATTTATAAGTTTATTTGTTAAAATTTTATGAAAAACGTTTTCAGTCTAAACTTTTAATTTTCACTTATAATATAACTATACAAAGTAAAGTATGTTCTTGTTTGCAGATTTAATTACTTAAGTTTAAGTTAAAATTTTTAGTTCAACAAAGTCATATGTAGGTTTTTCGACGCTAATTTTATGAAATTATTATTAAGTTGCAAGGTTTTACTCAAATATTCTACAAAATATTTATACAAATAATTTTTACATTTCACAGTAGCGAAGTCTATGTTTGAAAATCTTGATGTTCTATCGTCTTTTTTGGAGCCCTTGACTATTGGAACAATGGGAACACAGAAACCATTCCGTTTTAACTTTGAGCAGTACGTGCAGGAAGCTAGAACAAAAATGCCGAGCAGGAAAGCTGCCGGTAACTAAATCCTACATATTGAACAATTTCCGTCGTCAGTAAAGAGTCAGTGACCCAGGCGGAACGCAAACCTACAACTAACCGTACCGAGCTCTACAAAGTGAGCTAACGTATCTGTGGTTTTTAGTTTTTTTTACAATCATATAAATCCTAACGCGCAATCAACGTGTATAATGTATTCGAGTTAATTTTATGTTTTACACCTCACTATTGTTTGGGATGTGGACAAAAGCTGTTTCAACACTGAAAAGATTTATGTCTTATGAGTAATCGAATATTTTGTATACGCTATATTTTGCAGACGTTCAAGATACATTTTAGGCGAAATATAATATTGTAGTATTGATTTTATTAAGCTTTGTCTTGAGATATTTCATTTAATAAGTAGAAGTAGGCCCTTAAAGTTTTGAGTAACAACGACGTTTTATTTTTAGATGCCTGCACTATGCAATTATTGATATCAGCCATGGAAACCCAAACGACCCAATCAGATGGCGCCTGTGAATTGACACCGGAATGCCAAACTCAACTGATGCAGGGATCAGCGCTAGCCTTTCAACAAACAAGCAGAGTTAGAGCCATGATGCTATCTCGAATCTTCGACTGTATGGAGGGTGTCGACATTTCTGCAAATATTTACAAATTATGCATCCAAATATATAAAGAGACCAAATCACTAGAAGCCTGGGATCATCCCCCTGGGACTAGAACATTGTTTATGCAGCAGAGTATGTATATGTTCCACGCATTTGTGTAAAAGTAACGTTCGTTGGGTATAAGAAACTCCAGTCTGAAAACCAACTCTGAGTGTGACAAGCATTTAGTAATACAGCTAAGACTGGTACCGATTTCCACTTCGTATCTATTTATTATTTATATATTTTCCTGATTTACGCAATCTACTAGTTATGAATAGAAGGGCAATATTTGAAGAAGAAATCGTATTAAAATTAAAAAAAATATTTTCCTCGTGGAGAGTTTGACCCACTTGTATCGTGTTTGGTTTTGAATTTACTAATCATTCTAGAGTTCTTTTATCTACTACTGGTTTATATATAACTAAATTCAATTATACTGTCTATAGTTTACGCGAGTAGTACTTATAAAAACTTTAACGTTAAAATTTGTAATTATTTGAAAATGATTTTTAATTGGTCCGATTCGGATTAATGTATATTTTTATTACTTTTCTTTATTAAAGTGTTTTATTTAAATTTCAGTTTTATACTGTGCGTCGCAAGGTTATGGAGAGTTCATTAAACCAAGATGGATGAACAAAATAATGTCTTGGCAAGAGCCACGAGGCTGTTTCGCTGATGATCGACAACCATTTCTTCGTCTCACTGGCTTTGTTGGCCCTACTACTCCATCAAGTAAAAAGGACAGAGAGGTAAACAAAACTATTCTTATACTTTCTTATCGTCGAAGATTTAGTCCTTATGAATCTCTTTAGTCAACAAATTTGTAGACACGTCTATATTATACAGCTGAAGTGTTAAGATATAATTTATGAAGACGGAAAGGAAAACAAATTTTGATGCCCACTAACTACGCGGACGATGTCACAGCTAGTATACAATACAATACAACGTTTATAAAAGGTGGTGGACAGTTTAGAAAGTCTATATTTTATATATAACTTTGTAAAGAAAGATTTATATAATAATTAAATTTTTAAGGAGGAATATCGTATAAAAAAGGCAGCTGCCTCGGAGGGCGGCGCTTGCAACTCCTTAACATCAGCTATGGCACTTGGTTCTCTCGTTATGTATATTAGAGCGTTATTGGAGACAGACCAAGCTTTCCAGTACGATGTTCTTGCCTAGATTATGATTAATAGCCAGTAAAATAAAATGATTTCGTTTATATAATTTGTCTTTTTATCGTAAAACTTTGTTAGTTTTTTTTGGTATTAGTTGATATTTGTTGTCGGTAGAAGCGTAAATACGAAAAAATATCTTAAAAAAGAACTTTTCACATATTAATACATGATATTTTTTGCCTGATAAGATTATTTTAGCAACTTTACATTTCTTCATAACCTCACCTTCGATGTTGTTGACATAAGTCTGTCAAATTTTGGCATTTAATGTCATCTGTAATTTTGTTAGTGTTAAAATATTAAAGCAAAATGCAACGGTATATGAATAGTTTCATATTGAATAGTTTGAGAAATATGTGTTCTCAAGCCAAGTCTACTAAACCGCCATTATCTATTTTCGGTAAGGCTTTTTTAAATATTAGTATTCGATAAAATCTTTCGTCCTTTCTTGTCAAAATATTTTTAGGCATTGAAGGACGTTACGTGAACGCTCTGTACAGTGCTGCGTTACAGATGAAACAAATAGAACAAGTAGAAAAACATTTACAGGCATTGCAAAAGGAACTTGTTAAACCGAAGGTTGTAGACTTCGTAGAGACTAGTATGATATCTTCTGCTGATAAGGCTAAATTACTAAAGGAGGTTGCTGAGAAATCAGGTATAAAAGAATGTTAATTCTGAAAAACAATTCTTTTATATTGAAAATAATAATGTTTTTCTTTCTGATCAAGGTATGCCTCCCGCGGCTATAAATTTCCTAGAGGTCGTCGCTGAGAATGGAAGACTGAAAATGCTCAGGAAAATGATTACATTATTTTCGGCAGTCATGGTAGCCCATAGAAATGAAGCTCTATGTGAGGTCATAACGGCTAAGCCTCTTGATGATTCTACTAGAAAGACTTTGATGGAAGCTCTTAAAAAATTCGTCAAAGGTGGTAAAAATATAACACTCACGGAAAAAGTGGATTCGTCCATTATCGGTGGCATGATCGTAGGTGTCGAAGACAAACACATTGACATGAGTATCGCAAGAAAAGTGCAAATGTATACGGAAATATTAAAACAATCAGTGTAAATGCTGTTCTCAATGCGGAAAAATAACAATTACCGATAATGGTTTAATTTATTTATTTTATAACAATACTTTTACAGATCTAGGAAGTCTTTATGGCTAATAATTATCAATAATTATAAACTCTTCGCGCATTCGATTGGCTATAGCCTGTATTTCTAAAGAAATGCTACAGCCCCATACTTGTAGGTATGTCTTGGGCGATCTGGCGTTATGAGATTGGCATGATGACCAATTCTTTGGTCCTTTGGGGACATTGCACATGGTGAATTTTGTAATAAAGTTGGAACTTTCTCAGCGTGTACCCTATAATTGATTCTATTCGAATTCAGTGTGCCAGTCATTACTCGTTGAAAACTGGATGTAAGAATCCAAAGCTCTTCTTCTCCCATAACGTTATTTACAATTTTCATACCGCTGGCAAACTGTAGAGTTTCTTTGTTTATAGCAATTTGGTGGAAATTTCGAGTAGAAAAATCAGTGGCGGAATTCCAACACCAAACACCCGGTGGTTCCATTAGACCAAAGAACATAATACCATCTTTGTTCATAGCTTCCGCTGCTGACTGATTCGGCCTCTCTTCCGGGAACACCTACAATTTTATTTAGTCTTAGATAAACTCTCTTATAAAAAATAATGTAAATAAGATCCTGAAAGTTAAATAGTTATAGAGATACTTACACTCATAGAATCTGGGTCAGCGTTGGAATCAAGAATAAATGAATCATTTTGTAAAATATTTGTGCGTACAACATTTTCTTTGACTGATGCAAGCGCATGGAAATACATAAATCTAAAACCATCAGATAAGCGAGGAGATAGGGCCAATCCAAACAAACCATCCATCAGATCGAAACTTTCGCCTGTAAAATGAAAAAGAAAATATCTTTAACGATATTGTTACGAAGGGCCAATTTATACCCGATTTATATACAAGACAAGAGGGTATTTTTAACCAATTAATATCATTGATTTCAGTAAATATAAATCATTTTGCTCGGTTCTATTGTTCGATATAAAAAAATGATGTCATATAAAAATGGGTAAGGGTACCTTACCATCAATGCTAAAAGACCCGTGAGAAGGATAGGGGAAAAAGTGTCGGTGCGTTATTCTCCACGAACGATCTCTGTCGACATCGACAACTAGCAGCCCGAATCCAGAAACATCTGCGACGTACACAAATGTTTCTGAACAGTCATTTGCACCACGACCTCCTATATCCACTACCTATAAAGATAAAATAATTTCATTCCTTAGCAAGAATCAACTTAAACCAAATAAATTAGAGATGACGTCAATTTAAAAAAACTATGACATGGTAGCAATTGGAAAATCAAGAACTCCAACGTAATTTCGATTCTTGTAACATACGATTGTTTCTATTTAAAACTATTTCAGTAACTATAAGTTTTTTGAGTGAGTTGCATTACTTTTTTTGAAACAACGACACTCATTTGAAAGTAAAATGTATTTTAAACAACTCTTTCTGTGAGTTATTTTAAAAGTCATGTAACTGTATTATTTATTATTGTAATACTATGAGCATCGGGCAATCCAGGGGGGAACCACCTAAGTCCTGGAACCAGCTCAAGGGGTTGTGGCCCCATGAATCCTCTGAGCTGGTTGCAGAACCACTAATTGAATTTATTGATTTTATTTAAAAGATTGTGTAAAGTTCTTCAAGTGTACAATAAAAAATAATATTTTTATTTCAAAATATAAAATTTATTATAATATTTATCAATTTTATTAATGTACGTAAATATCCTGTACATGTACGTATATTAATAAAAAATTTAAGCATGACTATGTGACCCCTTCCTGGCGCCAAAGCCGGATCCGCCCTTGACTATAAAGTTGAAAATGGAATCATTTCAAAACAATTGCTATTAAATCTTACAGGCGTTATGAATAGCGACGTCGCGATGTAGTTGGACGCGTTTACTCGGTGGCGGTATATCAGTTGGTCAGTGTGAAGGTCGAAGGCGAGCAACTGCGGTGGACACACCTGCGATTCCCCTATCTTCCCCGTGTCCATAACCCAAAGACGCTGACATTTGTCGATCTGAAACCAAAATTCAAGGTCTCGGTGTAATTCGAATTGATCAATGCGATTTTTAAATACTTCCTTCAAATTTGTCACAAGGTCAATATTTCGTATTTAATTAAAAATTCAAAGCCTACGCAAAAAGTGTATGTAGCGTAACGTAGGCCCTTGCGAAAACCAATTATCCCAGCGGCTGCCAAGTTGTAGGTTATCTATCGCGCCTAATTGACTTTCGCTCAGTAGCTACAGATTTGATACACTTTACTGCTGACTGTTTCGTAGATTTGGCCTAACAATCGATTTTAAGCCTTAAATACCATAACATTCCGTAGTCTAATAATAATTTTAGCTCTTAACGTATAACCGGTTAAAAACGGTTAATGCCTAAAAATATAGCTTACGTCATTTTCTGATGTGCTTTTACTAGTTAAATATAAAAACGTAAATTTACAATTATTATTATTATAACTTTATAAATACATATGTCATTAATTTATTATAACTGTAATAGACTAACGAGTAGTGCACATTTAAATTAAGCACTTTAACGGTTTAAAAAGCGAAATATAAAGAATAAATATCTTAAAAAATATTTTAACTATGGCCTGACGTTTCGCGTCATATCTACGACGTTATAGATGGCGCTAGCGTAGCAAGTTTTACCTCGACATTAGAGACAAGTTTTACTTCGACATTCTTTAGTTTCCCCGTGACCACAAAGCTACTGCAAAGCATCCGAAATAAGTTTAACTAATTATAATACAAATAAAACGTTATCTTAAATCAAAGCGTTTTATTTAAGATAAAGTGTTTTAATTAGAGGGCAAAAGGTTAGAAGAAAAATACTATTAAACACTTTCTCTTCGTCATCATACTTACAGCAGTTCTAAATACAGAAGACATTCCATCACAGTTAAGACCTTGGTTGTCATGCCAAGAGTAATCTGGGTATCCTCGTATGCGACCATCGCTTTCTACGGTTCCGAATGTCACTGGCCGTCCAACATCGAACCTTGGTATCGTGATGAATATTCTGGACTTTTCAGGTTCTGTAAACAAACATTAGTAGAATATGAAATGTTATGTCTTGATGTTATCAACGTACTGTCTAGATTGTTAATCTTAGAGACATCAAAGGACTCGTACAATATGATTTGGTATGCAAAATATGTCTAAAAAAAATTGTAACAATATTGGTGAGGGTTGTCTTATGGATAAAGCAAGCGCCATAAACATGGCAACTCCAGATAAATATAACAACATTACAATAATTGTAAACTTTAACATTCTTTACATGCGTGTATTGAACATGATGGCACTATAAAGATTATAAATCTAAAATATTTGTGACTCGGGCAGGTTTTGAACCGGCATCGTCAGCGTTCCGTGCTGTTGCTCTTACCAATCGAGATTCGGTAGCTAGCATTACAATACTTACAACGCCATTATATTCAAATGTTACAATATTTTTCCCCGTTATCGTAAATGTGAAAGCGATTCTTTTGACGCGTAAAATCAATATCTCGCCACTCATTTTTGAGTTGACGCATTATTCATCCGTTTCATAATTGTATTTCATTCCTTACTATATTTTCTTGGATTCATTATTTCTTCATAATTTCGTAGAATGGATTATTAAGGTATTTCTATGGGTATTTAGGTGAATGCGGGCTGATGACCTAAATATTTCCATCTAAAACGTTCTAGTATTTAACTCAAATGTGTCTAACAGCAGCCTTAATCTGAGTGGTATAAGCACCGAGTTTACGTTCGTTGGATACTTATACGTGATCTTCAGAAACCTTACTGAAGGATCAGATATGTACTTTGACGAGTACTGTCACGACTCAATACAAATTTAGCCAGCCAATGACAATAATAAAAAATAATATAAAACGTCGGACCGTAGTCGAAATAATATTCAAATAAGTTTAATTAATATATTTCGCCGTTTAAACCGTTAAAGTATTTTATTTTTATATGTAGTAAGCAAATACCTCTTCTATGATGTACATCTACGTCAATAGGAACAGAGTTGCCGGGTACATAATATTGTCGCTCGGTGGCTATTTGTCGTACAGCTTCACTTGGAAACACAAAGTCCAATTCCGGCCATTGCCTAACTATTCTGAGTCCTGTTTTAGCACCAAGTCCCGGCCAGCAGCAAGCCAAGCAGTAAGATAGGAGGAAGAAGCGCTCGATGCCGTAACCCATTTCAGCTTTATAAATATCTAAGAGATGAGGATCTGCAAAGATGAGATACCCTTTAGTAAGTGTCTTAAATTTCGTCTCTTTGACTAATAACTATGACGCATACATCCTCGATGTTTAGTACACAAAGGTGTATTCATTTCTTCGGCAGCTAAGTGGGTAAGAGAAAGACTTTTGTTTCTCCGGAATTCGAAAGATTTGCAATATTAGCTAATTTTAAAACTCAACCAAAGAGGTAATATTCAAATTTAGTATAATTCACTAAAAACTACTGATGTAGGTTCAATAACCATTTTATGTGATAAGTACAAAGTATAAAATGTTAGAATGATATTGATTTTGACGCATAAATTTGTATATTATGATGTCAGACCCTTAAATATGAATTCCAAATGGTTTCAATCAATGTTTTAAAAAAAAAACATTTACAAACAAAATGTATTATTTCTTTAGAGCTTTGCGTTGCTTCCTAATTATAATATTTCTTACTTCAAATTACAACTATAGATACGAAACTTTAGTAACATTTGCTTTAAATAGACGTCTTATTTAGAATGAATACATTGAAATGTTACAAGCAATAAGCAATTTGGTAACAATAGGTTCCTAAATTTTATTTGGTCTTCACATAATACTAATCATATTTGATTATCCTATTGTTATATTAGTTTTACTTATTATAAGGGACAGCTATTTTTTGTTTTATAAATAAATAAAAGTGAGAGCTTATATTCATAAAAAAATATTTTATGTTGACATTAATAATAATATATTATAATAATTATATTGATAAGTTAAGTGTCCGTTTAGGATTCACGTTTATTTCCGGTAAATGTCCGATGTCGAACCTGCACCGCGATAAAAATACTCTTTCAAGTTCATCATAAAAATACTTTACCATACTGCCTCAGCAGTTGACCGCACATCCGGCTCTGCTCCCTCGGCGGCATTTCAAACAAACCACTAATTCACACACAAAAAGCCTAATGACAGTACATTTATATTTGTCATCTATTTATCTTCTTTTACCACAGAACAACAGTAAAGTTTGCACAGAAACACCTTCTTAAGATCCAGCTAGGAATAAAGACAGCTTTGAAATAAAGTTACTGATACTTTTATACACGAACACCGCATACTTCCAGTTAAGCTCTGCTATTTTTATAGCTATATACGATTAGAATTGGTCCATTACCATTTATAATGCCCTAGAACTACAATTTTAGAAAAAGAATGCGTTTATAATAATCACCATGAATGAAGGATATTTTTATACCATTTAAAACTATTTTAACTACATCTTTTGCCACGTTTTGAACGGCAAAGTTGTTTTTGACCTCTAAGATAGTTACATTATATTTGAATTAAGTTATTTTAGATATACATTGTATGATAAGGGAGAAATTATGCGGGACGTAATTGAATAATGATGAGTTAACACCAATACAGATATTAACATTCATTGTTATCACTTCACTTTTGTAAACGCAGAGCGAATAATATAAAACATATAAAACCGTCTTTTGGTTTCGGGGGGAGGTACCCTTTTTAAAAAAACACTTTTCCGTTTTTTTCCCGCTTTTTTTTTTTTTTTTTTTTTTTTTTTTTTTTTTTCCCCCCCCCCGGGTTGGGGGGGGGGGGGGGGGGGGGGGGGGGGGGGGGCCCCCCCCCGCCCCCCCCCCCCCCCCCCCCCCCCCCCCTCTCCTTTTTTTTTTTTTTTTTTTTTTTTTTTTTTTTTTTTTTTTTTTTTTTTTAAAATAATAAAACATATATACAAAATATTTGCCTATTTATAGTTTTCAACTAAAAGGATCGAGTTCTAGGTTTTAATGTTCGTTTAGCGTAGTCGGTCAGTAACCCGAATTATTAGAAATATGCATGACATCATAGACGTGGCTTTTCTACGTTTAACAAACACACAATGACGAAAAACCGTATAAGACACACAAAAGGCGTCATAAAAAATGCCATTGTTTTCGTACGCTACAAAATTCTGGAGGCTTGAGTTAAATATAGCCAATCAAGTATAATTGAAACATCACATGATTTGACTTAATTATACAATAGAAAAACACTGACAAAAAATAACTAACAAATTGTAGTTTGAAGTTTGAATAAAACCAGAATACGATATGTGCTGTTATCAGCACCGCTAATCAGGAATAACTAAATTTATTACACTGAAAATTACATTAAAATACGAGGAAAACTTATTTAATTACTCCTGTAGTATTTATTGCTAAACAAAAGGATCTTCTCAGTTGCAACAGATGTCGTGACCACGCATTTATCTGCTTAATGACTTGAATAATTAGAAGCAAAATGAAATGATGTGATGCTCATCCATACAATTTCAGGGTCACCAAAACGTAGTAAAAAATAGTCGTTAATACTGTTTTAAGTAATGGTGTGGGTATATGATGGATTTTATATGTCATATTATGTCGTGTTAAAAATAAGACTAAGCGACCGATCAATTGTCAGTCAATCTTGCACGTCATGCTATTAGTACAATATTTTTGTTTAATCTATAGAGAGTATGAAATAAAAATCTATTTTATCTTGTTTGTGAGTATTTTTAGTTATAGCCCTAACAGAACGATATCGAAAATTAAAAAAAAATATCTGCCCTGTAGCCAAATGGTTAAACGTGTTGCCTAACATTAAATGCATTGCATAGGGAGACAATAAATTTAAGGCGGGGCATAGAAGTTTGATTGCCTGTAGAAGAACAGAGTGAAGCGGACACAGAAATGTGTTTGTCCCATGTCCCACGAGAGAAAACGGGACTTCACTTTGTTTCAGAGCCTTGTGATACACGTCTTATTAATAGGATTTTAATGAAGCTCGAGTACTTTATCCTAAAATTTTTTTAATTTTTATTTTATCATTTTGCTTAAAAGTAGTTATAAATGATAACCCTAAAAATTATGAACTGACGCAGCAGCTTGCCACATTATTGCAGTCGTGACAATGAACTTGCCTTGCTTATTAGTAAGATTGCTTTTATGCGATTTACAAGAATCTTTATCTTATCTTAGATTATTTTCTGAAGCTACCTTTAAGTGTTCAATATCTATACTAATATATAAAGCTGAGGAGTTTGTTTGTTTGAACGCGCTAATCTCAGGAACTACAGGTTTGAATTAAAGTATTCTTTTTGTGTTAGTTAGATAGAGCATTTATAGAGGTAGGCTATAGGCTAGGAAACATCGCCCTGTGATCGATTTATTGAAATCAGTTTGCGGCGTTATATGTCTATCATTTAAGATTAACTTGCAAGAACGACGGGAAGGGACGCGACCGATGTTGTCGGTACCAGCTTAAGTTTATAAAGATGGAAGGTGTTTGCAAAAACGAGTTTGCATGCCCAAAATAACGATTCTCGGGGACGAAGTCGCTGACACAGTTAGTAAAATATATATCAGTAAAACAATTTTTAACAATGTTGACTGACTTGTCGATGTAATGGTAGCAATCGATCGAACCGTTGATTATGAGCTATAATAATCAACGGGTCGATCGATCGATTCAAACCCCGCCAGGTCCGACATTTTTCTAATTAATTTATACTTTATCTAAAACATGTCGGTCTGAAAATCTGGAATATTGAATGGGTGGTAGGAATATCGAAATTTCGTCCAAGTCATTAACCATCGTCCACAGGTGAAAAAGCCGTGAAGAGACATCCTCCATCTTTAGTCTCCCCGTGACCACGGCCGCTGCAAAGCATCCGAAACGTCGGGCCGACGTTAAAAATCATTTTCAGATAAGTTTAACTAATATATCGCGTTTTATACCGTTAAAGTGTTTTATTTAAGTGTGTACTACTCGCGTAAACTATAGACAGTATAGACTTTATTTTTGTCCGTAGTTTACGCGCGCAGTATACGTTATAATACGGACAATACTTACAAAAAATATTTTTAGAAATAATATTGATTGTATGTCATGCGGTTGAAATGTCGAAAGTAGCGGACCGGTTTTGAAATATTTTTTTACTTTGGTAGGGCAATCCATTAATTTAGGGAGTTTGTGGGAGTAGGAATCCTGATATAATTTTTTTTTTAAATTATGAGAAATAAATTCACTTGGTGGTCTGTTAAGTGTGTGAAAATAATACACAGGATAGGGACGCGGTTACTCAATTGGTAGCACAATATACAACTAGGAACGTATGATTGAAAATATGCAAGTTAATTGTAAATGTTATTTATATCATTCTATAGTGATAATATCAAGCAGAATTTAACTATAATGATCATTTTTCCATGGTTCCGTGACCATAGATACTTTCTTTTGATTTTACTCTCTGTTTTATTTTTAAATCGATGGCGGTTTCTTATTAAGAAAAAGTTGATTGGTTTCGTTGAGGTAAAAAACAAAGATTGCTTTTATGGTTTATAGGCTAGTTTTCTATTAGTTACAATTACTCAATAGTACGCTTGATAACTGTGGAAATTACAATATTTATGTTAATAGATAATATTAGGTTCGCGTGAAAGGTCCCGGGTGAGGACCCCGGGGACTTCCCCGGTATAGGACCTAGACTTTTAGGTCCCATATTGAACAACAAATTGGAGAATAGACTTTAAGAATAAAAAAAAGGAATTTACGCGTAATATTTTGATAGAAAATTTCTCGTATACATGATAGATTATATTATACCGGTTCAATTAACATATTTAATAATTTAAATAAAACACTTTAACGGTTTAAAACGCGATTTCGTTATCTTATTTGAATATGTACTACTCGCGTAAACTACGGAATATATTTAATAATATAGGTATCGATCATAAAGAAAAAGCAAAATTTAAGTATAGCTAACGTGGGTTTGGTAGATTGATAGATACGAACCTTTACTAAAAGTATAAGTGGGTTTGATTTGAGTTAAAGTAAATGCGTTATTATAGTGAAAAACTGCGGATGTCTAAAAAAACTTGCTAGCTGATTAACATCTTCCAACAGGTAAACAAAAATTCAACAACGAATAACTTCTATTTTTAAAATTGACTTTAGTAGACGTCCTCTATTCAATAGCACTACTAGTTATATATGTAATCACCTTGCTCACAAAACATGCCTTAGCTAAGATTTTCCCTGATAAGGTAGCGTCTTTAAAGCTCTCAAACATAATAAAGAATAAATTAAATAGGAGGCAAGCATGTTGTCAAGCAATATTGTGACTTATGCAAGGTCGATCTAAATAACCGAACTGGAATTTAGGTGCTAATCCTATAAAAAAGATATAATTATTTAATTGCATGTACAATCAAACGCAAAAGCGATTATAATTACCTTAAATTTGGCACACGTGTCTCACAAAACTTCATGTAACATCACAACGAAAAACGGTATATTTATTTGTCTGTCTTATCAAGTCTTAATGACATTTATAAACGAGCTGCTCTCGCGGGAGACGAATATCAACTGTTGGGAAATACGTCGAAATAGTTATTATTATAAACAATCCGATATAACTTTCTGAATCATATTTCACAGCAAATTATATATTTTATATATTAAAAGCTATTACGAAAGCTCTACGCTGCGTAGCGTATTGAAACTATATGTAGAATTTTACAGTAGTATATACACTTAATTAAAACACTGTTTACGGTTTGAAACCCAAAATGTAAATATTGTCTATAGTGTACTCGAGTAGTACATATTTAAAAAAAACACTTTACCGGTTTAAAACGCGATATGTATTATTGTCCGACGTTTCGGATGCTTTGCAGCAGCCGTAGTTAAAATTTTAAATAAGTTTAATTTATATATATTTATATATAAACCCAAAATATGATAATCAATCTTTTTTAGAAATTATATAGTATGAGTAGTTAATATAATTAGTAAATAAGTTTGACCAATACATTTTACGTTTTAACCCGTCAAAAGTTTGTTTAAAGTCCCTAAAAACTTTTTCTATACATTTAAACTCAAA